ATGCCTTATTTTCATTTCCTAGAGTATCAGTGCACATATAAATGAGTCTGTACCATGATCTTCTCCTTCCTCCAGTAAAAGCAACTGAAGGGGTTTCTGTTGTTTTCATTCTATTTTGTTTCGGATGAGGGAGTGCGGAGAGAAAGCTTTCAGGTGGTACTTTGAGTTTTATTTAAAATACAAAATAAATTCAATCCCGGTGTGGGGAGGGAAATTTCTCCCTTTTCTCTGAAAACACTGAGGTTCACACACTCCTTGTCTTTCAGCACCCATGGGTTCATAAGTCTTCACCTGGATACTGGATTAATCTGCTAAATCTTTTGACAATGGCTAGTTAGAACATTCCCAGGAAAAACACACACCACCAATCTACAAGTGTTCTGCTACTTCTGCAAATTTTCTTCTCCGTTGCACAAGTGAAATCTGCTGTTCAATAAAGACTAAAACATTAATATCTTGCTCATAGGCTATTAAAAAAACCACAACAGCAAACAAAACCAACAACTTTCCTCCACTGAAGTGAACCATTTCTATGGTTAAAATTAGAAATAGGTGAGAAATGGCCAAGATTCAGCATTCATCACAGGCAGTCCTTTTCCATTAGCTACAAGCATTTTTGCAAACACGTAATTTACCATCCAAGCATTTCAATCTTACACTGAAAGGCTTTAAAGAAGATTTATAAGCAGACTGGTGTATTACAACCTAAAATTCCTTTATGTGTTTCAAACAATTTCCTACCATACCTCTTCATACTGCAAATAACTTCTGCTTTGCTCTGAAAATGATACTTATGGCAGCTGTATGCTTGTTACTATCTACAGCAATGAAATTATACTGCTGAAATGGATACTTGAAAGATGATGAGTACATGGATTTCTAGTAAAAAACCTATTTCCCTCAGAACTTTTATTTAAATAGCAACTCAACTCTTGTGATCTCTTGTTAGTATTCTGGAAGCCAAATGAACATTCAAACAGCTAATTAAAAAAAAAAGCCTTAGAACATAATTGTTAAACACAATCTAACGAAGATGCTTCATTACCTTTTGGTGGGAAATCCAGCACTATTTAATATTTCTTACTTCTGCAAAGAACTAACGGCTGTGAAAGGATAAAGTGCAACTAGAAGCATTACGCAAAATTAAATCAGTTAGTATCTACCTAATCAATTACACATACCAAGATACATGATATTCAATCTCCGTAAAAAAGGGTGCTTTATTTAAAATTAGTTTTAAAATGTATGAATTTAAAATGTGTCACACGTCATAAAAAATTTAGAGAAACCATCCTATTTGATAAAGTTAATTCATGATTGAGTCTAAGCTCTGAAAATCACAATATGATTCTTCCTTTAATCTGAGAATAGTAAGTAATCTTCTGCATAAAGATTTTTCTTTCAGTCTTACTTGCACACAACTTTTATCTAATGACTTATTACCATCAAGGAAGCTCTAATTAAACGTAGACAACTAAGCTGTAGATTAGGGAAGCATCGATTTACTGTACTGCAGATCAGGGAGATGTGAACTCTCGGGTTCATAATGTTCCAGCTATTGCATCCTACACTGGACCGCTCAATTGCTCCCAGTGTTCTTCAGAGCTCATTTAACAGACTAGCAAATTCTGGTATGACTGACAAATCTTTCATATTATGGGCTCTTAGGCCACTACTGTTAAAGGGTGGATGAGAATCATATCCTAAGTTGAAGCTAATAAGCTTAACTGCACAGTTGGTGTGTAGTTAAGTCCTAATTCCCACAACAAAAAAATACTAGAAATAACATTTTAAAGTCTCTTTTTCAGTGGTGCATTTAATGGGCCCATTTGTGGTAGTTCTTTCTGTCTCATCTTTGTTGCTTATACATATCAAACTATGAAGTGGATGGATGGCAACTCTACTCTGACCCGGAAATACTCTAAGCCACAGCCACGCTGCACCTGGGTTGAGAGTAGGTGGGCAAGCTGTGGAACACACCGGTTCACTCTGTCACCAGCACTAGAAGATTCAGATCCCCATGCTGCCAGTCCAAGTTTTATAAACTAACCTTCCTGCCTTCCCCTTTCAATCTGCATATACAGCTCATAAGCATTTTATCACAAATACATCTACCTCATTCGTAGTCATTCACCTAGCTGCAGTGCTATGTAATATACCTGTAACCATACACTCAAAACTCAACCAGGATCCAGTTTTTCCCCACATTGTTCAAAGACATCTTCAAGGGAGGCTGGTAAATAACAACATACTGTTGCATACCTTGCCTCAGTTAGAATACTAGTCCTTGATAGGCTTGCTGAAGAAAACAAGAATGAAGAGAACCAGCCTGCTGAAGATGACGGTTTTCAAAAATGAATCCAATTTTGCAAATGGAAAAAAAATAACTCCCCCAAAATCGTGATCCAAGCTCAGTGCCTCTCCTGCAAGACCAAAATCTCTTCTTCCCCGGACATCTTGACAACTATCTGGAGCAAACTGATAGACAGGCCTTAGAATAGGCAAGTTTTTCCTGGCATGCCAGCAACATGATCAGCCTCATCCCACGTTCCATATTTTTTTGGCAGTAAGAGATTAGACTCCCAAATGTGCATACCACTAAGATGAAATTAAAGGTTTCAGGTTTGAGTTTTGCAGAACAGAATACTCAGCCAGGTGCATCTCTACTCACAAGACTAAGATTTGTTTTATCATCATGCTTTGTAATGCTTAGGGATTTCCAATGGCCGAAGAAGGCAGTGTTCTGGACTAAAGCCATTCTGGAAGTGGGATATACATAGCTGTTTCTCATCTAAGATTAAAAATAATTACAGTTCATAAAACCATATGCTTCTCTTTCTAGTAAAATCTTTCAGCTACATATCTGTTTCCTGCACTAAGCAGCTCACAAAGCATTCACTGATGCCCCTTTCAGAAGATCCCTTATTTCCATGCAAATATCTGTATGACACTTAAATTTGCCACTTAATTTTTCCAAGACAATATCTGAAATCTATAGGATTTTCCCATCCTACATCACGGTGAAAATACATCACCTGGAAAGTGCTACCTTTGAAATTACTAACTCCATCTGAAGATGCATGAAATCCATTCTTAAGATGCTTTTAGTTGCAAAAAACTCAGAGAGAACACTAACTCAGTAAAAATGCCTGTATTACTGAGCCTCTTCGGGCTATCTATATATTTTTTTACAACAGCAAGCAGTATCACTTTCATCCAGGATGCAAAAAGCAGCTTTTAAAAATGGATCAGTTTTTAACGAATGGATTCTTTAGCACTAAGATTATTGCCTCGTATTTATTTGATGCTTCATTCTCTTCAGAAATTATATATTGATGAGAATCTGGGTCACAAAGGTATTTGAATCTCTGTGCAAGATGAAGGTGAAAGAAGAGAATGAAGAGAGATATAAACCCTTCTGAAGATAAGTAGAGTTAGCATCTAATGCATCCTTTACAGAGTGTAAGCATCATCACATTTTCGTTATTTTAATATAATCAAAGTGAAAGATAACAGCACAGCGATATGATCCTTTCATATAACCATGGTGATACAAGATAAAGACATTCTCAAAGAATTATTATTCTTAACAGGCTGCAAAAACAAATTTCAAGGGGAAGGGTGGGGTGTCAAAGTGAGCATTTAGCTTATTTTTCTATAAATGAAGCCAGCATGTAAAAATAAACTTAGAGGTACAGGGTTCAGATGCCACACATTCTACTGGGAAGTCTCTCTCCCATAGGACTTATGGCTAAAAATGACTACTAAATGTTATCTACAGAAAGCTTCTGGAACTTGGTAGTACCAGTGATGAGCCAGATGATGCCATCAGCAATACACACCTCAAAGTGACTTGTGATGTTCAGACAAATACTTCATCAAATCATATCTTGGTGAAGAAGGAGATTTGGAAGGGAGAGAGAATGATTTTTAATCTGATATTTCCAATGAAGGTGTGCTTTTGTTTTATATAGTTAAGTGAGAACAAAAGACAGCTGCTGCAGAAAGGAGCAACCCTGCTGTTCCTTCTCTCAAGCTGTACTTGTCTGACTCTACAGTGAGTCTACTCAGGGAATTGAATCAACAAAATTTTTGCAAAAAGAGACAATTTGTTTTTCTGCCAGTTTAGCTTCCTGGGAAAGGTAGGAAGGCAGAAGAGAAAGCCCATCCCTTGCAGCAGAAACCACCTATTAGACTGACTAATTTGTAATAGAGAAGAGCCCCCTGAAGTTCCTGTCCACACTAGAGTTCTTCAACAGACTGAGCTGGTGGAGGGGGCTTTGAGGTTGAAAACAGTTAGGAAAGCATTAATTTGTAATTCTGTGGATTTGCATCTCCAAGAATCATTATATGGCACAGAGTAACCTTTACAATAAAAGGTCTTTTAATTTTTAAAAATTTTATAGGGTTTTTCAGTGATTTATGCTCAGCATTTTTACTGGATCTCACACTCCTAAATCGATTACTTTTGAAAAGCTTGCCCTCCAGGATCACTTGCAGCCCAGTCTCAAGGATTTAAGACTTCCTCCATACGTTCAAAAACTACTTTTAAAGAAACCAACTTCTGTTCAAGGTCAATAATATAACTTCCAGGCAGGAACATTTTTTGTCATGGCTCAGAGGAATCCACGTCAAGCAGAATGAAGACATGGATTCATGTTGTCAAAGGACAGCATGGTCCAATTTATTACTGCAACTGAAACCTCTGTGAAACTGTGGCCAGTGTAAGAGGTTTTAGTCTATTAAGCTTGACTGCAGCAATGTAGACAAGGGAAAGGCCCTTGAATAGGTACCAGTAAAGGAGAAATGAAGGGAAAAGCTTTTCCTTCACTGAACAGCAACATGCAACTCACTGTTCACAAGCCAACATTTATTTTTTCTACAAGCCAATTCCTAACTTCAGTTTCCTGATATCATGAAATCGTCAAATGACATTTTGAAAAGCATTTTTTTCCAGTTATTTGCATGCTTAACCAAATGGGCAGAGGAATGTGTCTTACCATACAGGTGTCCAGGTCCTCCAAACGTTCTATCTCTGTTAATTCCTCAACCGTGATGATAGAACGTTTAGTTGGTTTTTCTTCAGCTAACTCAATTGCCAGTGATGCCTGCTGTGGAAGTGGTTTGCCACGTCTGGTCAAATGGTCAGCCTGGAGGCAAGGATAAAGACAGGAGCACATCAATCAAACTATTAAAAAAGGCAAACCAAACCCAACCAGAAAGCTTACAGAACTTAAGTATTCACAGATCCTAGAAGGTCAATTACAAAAGCAAAACTCAGTTGTGTGTGTGAATCTTCACACAGGGTTTGTTTTGGTTTTCTCTTTTTTTGGATGGAACCCCTTCCATCACACATTCTAAGAAGGAAGGGAGAAAATTCTAACAGGAAAAAAGAAAAGGAAAAAGATCAGATAAAAAGATGTCCTACTTTTGACTTATAATAGTATCATGGGGCTTCCTCAGCATTTACCCTGTCTTTATTGCAAAGAAAATAAAGGGGTGGAAGAGAAGCTTTGTCCACGACCATTGGTTTTTATTTGTTTGTTGAGGGGTTTTTTGTTTGTTTTGTTGTGGGTTTGGTTTTTCTTTTTTTTTTTAATTAAGTAACACAGACACATGTACAATTTCAGCTAATATAATTTTTATAATTATAACATAATATGTTATCACCTGTTATTCAAAACACAGGAGAGCTTTGATAAATACCTACCTTCTGTTTGCCTGAAGAGTTAGGTAAGAGCTACCATAAAAAAGCAAAAAAAATTCCTTGACAGATTTTAGGTATAAGATACTTTTTTTTGAACTATCAGAGAGGAAATATTCTAACAATAATAAAATCCATTCTTAGACCTGCATAGCAAGAACAGTTTCTAAAACCATAGAGAATGCTATATAAACCACATCAGGAAAATTATGAACTATTTTCTAGTTCTGCTGGTATGAAAAGAGAATATTAAGTAGCATCAATTAAAAACAAGTATTGAAGATCAGCTGGCCCAAATCAGTTGTCACAGAAACCTTCAAAGAGGCAGCTAGGGAGAGCTGGAGTCCACTACTTAACCCCAGCATGACTGGACAACCAGTGGATTGCAGTTTGTTAAACAGCAAAAAGAGTAAACAGATGACCTGAGTCAATTATAGCTCACTTAGTCTAGTGTCTACTCAGGAAAAACAACTGGAGAGCTCTTATGGATTTATCTTCAATCACACTAAAAGGGCTTCAATAATAATTAATGCTAATCATCATCATTAGCAAACTCAGGTCTTGTTGAATAAGGTTTACTTTTCAAATTTGCATCAAACACTGATGTGCCACTGCAACGTGCACAGACATTTATACGTGGCTCAAGTAGTAGCACATGACACTCCAATTTAAGAAGCTGGCACAGAACTTCATCAGTGCATTTAATCTTTATTGTATTAAGAACTAGCTACCAGTTCTCACAGCTGCCAGTTGAAGATTAACACTGACAATTTAGATAGGAGATCCTCTACCAGCATCTTTTCAGAATCCTGCTCTTCAATGTTTTCAATAGTGCTATACTATCTGAAATAATCTGCAGCTAACGGAAACACAGGAGAGTTAAACAGCGAAGGGGACGTTACTAATGCATGCCAAAATGGATCACAAAGTAAATCAACTCAAATAAAACATCCAATCATTCCTTAGAAACTAAGAGCACTGGCAATTAGCTACGGACACAATCCTGAAAAGCAGCAAGTGTCGAGCATCCTGAAATCATTACTGGGAGGGAGCAAACACCAGTTCTGAAAATGAGCTACTACTGAAATACTGACAAAAGGAAGAAAATCTTATCTCCTTGGCTATGTAAATATGAAGAGTATCAGGAGAAAAGCGGTTTCATTCCTATATATAGTGTTGGTTAAAACACTGGAATAGTGTGTCTGGTTCTGGGACCATAGTTTTAAAAGAGGCTTTTAAAACAGCTGGAGAAAGTGCAGAGGATTCTTACTGAAGTGACTCAAAGACTGGAGAAAATGACTTACTGTGCAAGAGTCAGGGTATGACGACATTGTGCAATACCATTGGACAGAGACAGCCCACTGCTCATGCCAGCTGAGCCTGCTCCAGGACTAACTGCAGCTCATTAATGTGGCCACTCAGACAGCAGGCTGATGCTGCTGCATAGCTCCCGAGACCAGAGGTGGTACCTTTACACAATGCTGCTCTGTATCATGAAGATGCACCCCCAAATAACCAAGTCCTTTATTTATTTATTTTAGAAAAGGGGGGAGGGGAGAAAGAGTGATTTGTTTTCTGTGTATAAGGACTTTCACAGAGAAGAAATAAAGAGAAATATATATGGTTCCCTTATGTTGTGGTGAAAAGCATCTGAAAAATTTCATGACTGCAAGCTGAAGCCACAGAAGTTTCAATTAGAAATTGTAAGAGCAATTTCAACCCAATGGCTTCTTTAAAAAATAGCACAGGATATTCCTTACAGAGGCCCATTGTATTAGAAGTAAAAATGTTTTTCTGTAGATACACAGTTGTTTATTTCTTCTAGTCTTGGCAAAGTACCTTTATAATAAACAATTGTGCCTTCTGACAGCTCAGCACCTTCAAATAAAAGAGTGTTTCTTTTGCTATGTTTCTACTCCTTTCTCTTCCAACTTTATACCTATTTTTCTGAGGTAGCCTCAAGATGTACTTGTTCAGGGAACAGAGTCTCAGCAGTCCCTCCTCTAAAGAATGAAATTTTACCTTTCATTTCATAAGCAACCAATTTATTTCATAAGCAACCAATTTTTTCCTTTATTATCTCACCAGGACAAGTACTGGCACTGTTTGTAACCAATGACCCAATGCTGCATCCTGACGGCATTTCTAGTTTTAGATCTGACAACAGTGCAGAAGATAATAGGGCAAATGTATAATGCAGCCTCTCTCAAGGCTGTATCTTCCTTAAAGCAAAGAGGCAAGAGTCCCACAATCATATGTCAAATAATGTCAGTGATGCCAATGACAATAAGACGATTTCAAAATAGAGCTGTGCTATGGGGAAACTGAACAAGTTATGAATGTAAATGGCACTGTTAAAATACCCAGCATATTCAGCTATCAACCATGCAAATACTCACCAGTTTGTGATGGCAATGGGAAAGTGCATCCAGGATTTCATCTACAACTCGGTCAGACAGGAAAGAAGCCACTGTCAGCTTTACTTCACTGTGTGAGGATTAAAATGAGACAGAGAAATTTTTAATTCACGCAGGAGAATTTTGTCTCTATTACACGTTCAACAGTGTGATGATTATCCACAGGGCTGTCACTTTATTTGAAGTAAAACATTACAGGGTGTCAGGATACATGACTGCAAGTTTCAGAAATAAACTCATGAATCACACAATAAACACAAGAGCCTCTGTACCGTATTTAACCTGCTTCTCACATTTTTCTAAGAGCTGAAATGAAAACATCTGGGTAAGAGAGCTGAATAAAAACCACATGTGAAATGCAGTAAGGAACACTCCACCTCTGGAGTCAGAGAAACATGAACCTCAGATGAATAGGATTAGAACAGTGCTGCCTATTTAACACTACTGCACTGAACAACTATAATCCACTCATTTTCTCAACTTCTTTTTGTGTTTGTCTGCCAGATGAAGGACAACTGCATAATGCTGGTTCTCCAGTCTTTACCATCATAACTTTGCTTCCTCTTTCTGCTCTAGGTAATCACTTTGTCTCAAGATCAATGCCATTCCCATTACACAGACGTATGCAGAACACCACCACACCCCATACACTAAATTGAGGTTTCACTGGTAACTTCCTATCAAGGAAATGTGTACCTTGAATTATTCCCTTGGAGTCCCATCTTTGCCCAAAGTACAAACAGCTCAGGCTGTGGAGGGCAGCTGATTTGCAGCTGACAAGCACGTACGCCTGAAGCTCCATCACTCCTGCCTCCTGAGTGTCAAGGGCAACTGCTTCAACTGACACTTACCAGCAAGTAACATCATTTTGTTTTAAGGTTTTTATGTATGGACTGAGTTACATTGGAATTAACAAAGCTATTTAGATCTGCAACTACCTCTGCACAAAGCCTGGGGACAAAGATAAGACACTCCTGGGAAAAGCAATGCAATTCATAGAGAAGTAGAATGGTGGTTAAGCCATGGTGGGAAGACAGCGAGAGTGAAGGGATTTCCCGTCAGTTACTTACATAATAATTTTAAATAATATAAGGCAGGAACAGTGACAGTGTGGCACCCTCCCCCCGCTGACAACTGCAGTTTCTACAGGTGGAACGGGAACTATTATTGTCTCAAGGTCAAGATTTCTTTGATAGCACCAAAGTGAAGACAACTCGCTCCCTGAAGCATTTTAAACACTCTGAAGGCATAGCTAAAGTCCTTAATACATTTTCCTGCTAATTTTGCTGCACTCTGCAAAACTAATTTCTAAGTCTTTCTGTTTTCCTTCTTCTGCAAAGATATTAGCATCACAGTGCAAAATGACATGCTTTTCCATCAAGCAGAAAGCATTCCTTAGACAAATTATAGCAACTGCAAAGGTTTAAGTACAGGTCAACCACCTTATATTGCATTGAATATATTAACTATATATTTAAGATGAAAAAAAGATGCAGTAGAAGGTCAGGTAAAAGACTCTTTTTTCCTTTTTAAAGAGCAAACTAAGAGTTGGTTGGGGTAACTGTTTCTGCTCCAGGTTTGTGGTTTGAATATCCAAGTTTTCATTTTTTAAGTATGCCTGCCTGCTGTGCACAACTCCCACACAAACAAAAAGTTTTAAAGTCATTGCTACAGCTACAGGATGAGACCAAGTGCAGCAACAGAGAAAGCACTGTTAACATGAAAGGCAAGTAAGTGCAATTTTCTTCTATTCCAATAATTCAGTGCTACCTGAGAACATAAATAGGTTTAAAAAATACATCAGTCATGAATATGTTATTTGCGTCCCATAAGGCCAAACTCTTACTAAATAAAACAGAAGCACATGCATTAATGATCAAGTCAACAACCCTGGAGATTCCAAATATTTGAATGTCTTGAACTAAGTTCACCAGACCTGTTGACAATTTCCTGCTCTTTGAATGCCTTAATATAGTTTGTTGTGAGTCACCAAAGCATTCTAAAAATCTTCTACTACACACACACACATACACGCAACCCAAAATCCAAATTCTATAACCAATTTTGTTTGGTTATTCTTTTAAAGTACCTAATTTTATTGAGGATATCAATTCCAGACTGCTCCAAGAGGACATTTTTCACAAAAGTGCGCGGGATGGAAATCTTCTCCGTGCTAGCCTCAATCAGGTCTTCACGGATGCGAGCCTTCTTCATTACATTTGGGCATAGGTTTTCTGCTGCATCCACCATAGACTCAAGGAGCGTCTGCAACACAGTAAGCAAAAGCTAACGTCAGCTATTGAGGTTTTCATCAACTGGACAATCACAGTATTATTCTGGTGCATACCACTATAGACTTGTAACTTCTACAAATTCTTTTCCTAATTTCCAATCCATTTTACAAAATAAAGACAAGGAGGAACAACACACTTGGTTTGAAAATGACCCGTAACTGTACTTGTTTGCCTTTGAAACATTTACACATCTGCGTGTTTGTCAGAACAATAAAGTGTCCCTTGTACACCCACCACTGCTGCCTGTGCATGCTGTAGAAGCCATAGATGCTCTCCTGCAGCTGCCTTTGCTCTAAACTGTGCCCTGAATCAGCAATTTTCATTTTCATCAGGCTGGTAATTTGTAAGAGGCATGAGTATATGAAGAAAGGAGACTCGTAAGAACTTGGCATGCTCTACAGGGCTGGAATATACTAGCCAAATATTAAGTAGCTACAAGTATGATTTGCAGTGGGCAAACAAACCTTTAATATATGGATCTCATATATATCTCATATATACCTGGAAGTCCACAGTGAACCTTAGGGGCAGCCAGCACCTTTTATTCTTTTTTAGTGATTGATCAAAACCCCAAACCAGGACAGAAGAAACCCATACACACTCCAGAAACAGGACCATGTAACTGCCAACCCCTTCAAATTTCTTCATCTTAAAATAAGGTCTCCCCTGCCAATGGTATAAAGCCAACTTCTTCCCTCTTAGACTTTCTCTTAGAAAAATCTTTCATATATACTTTAATGCTATGATGTTATGCTATGAAGACCCTTTCAATCACATTAGGTTTATATCCTATCTGTGTCTGTGAGAAAAGGTAATTCTAGTTTAAATCCTGTTTTATCTGGTTTCTTTTCCAAATCCCAGTCTGACTAGAAGGCTGAAGAACCCTCACTACAGACTCAGGTGAGGGCTCACAATCACCCATGTATGAACCTGTGTCACAAAAAGTGCAGGAAATCTCTAATGTACACACATAGGGATCCAGACGAGACGTAGGAACACTACTATTGCCCTGTATCATTGAAACATCTTTCCTCTAATTGCTTTCAGTTTTCAGATCTAAAAAGCTTAGGTAGGACCACAAAAGGTATGATATAACCAGCTGGTCATGTGGAAAACTGAATTTTAAATTCTTACTGGTTTACCTACGTGCTGAACTATACCTGTGTACAGTAAAACAGATTCACAGTGGGCTCTATTTTCTGATAAGACTGGAAATTGTTCGTTGTTCAAATTTTCTCCTACACCCACCTTACTTCATCTCCAGTCCCAGGAACTCAAGAAATCTATTTTAGGTATACTCAGAGACTGTTCAACCATCAATTTTCCAGCAAATAACTTGTTTCAGAGATTGCAAGAGGTCAAGGATCATCAGCACAGGGTTTGAAAACAAACTCTCCACGTCCATTCCCAGCATGAAGTGCTACTTAGAAAAGATCAGTAAGCAGATGGTTCTCTCTGGCAGCTGGTCCCTCTGCTAGCTGAAGCTGTCATCCTGCTGCACCCCAGTGACCGTGGGGTATCCTCAGGCTACCGTGCTTCTAAAGTGGCAGGGCGAATAAAGATACTATCCTTGGTTCATGCACGACCCATTTCCCCCATCTCTGAATCCTCTACATTAGTGGGACAAGCAGCAGCTATTAGAATACATCAGATTTTTGAACATATGTCATGTTGCGTGCAGCTTTTGAGCAGTTTCTTAAAATCCAAAGGAAGATGGAAAGAAGAGAGGAACAGGACAGAGGCCACTTTCCTGAAATGGGCCGAGTCACCTCCAGTAAGACTGAAGGTTGATAACCAAACAGAAAAGGTACTTACAAATAAAAAAAGAAACAAAATCATATTTTGTTGGAATGGTATCCAACAGAGCAGCATGAAGCAGCCACAGAGTATACGGAAGTCTGATCTTTACAACATTTGATTTACAGGCATAAGGGACAATTGCCCTTACAGTTAATACAGACCTCGTTTCTGAGTTCCCAAACTCTCTGCACTTTAAAGACTCCTCCTGCACTCCCTCCTTCAATCCTCAAGCAGATTCTGATGTCATAACACTAATGAAGAGCCTTTCAAATCCCTGCAGCCATATCCATATGGAAGACGAAGAACTTCAGTGGTAGACAAAACTGAGTCAGGGAAACTACTACTGAGAATTTCTGACACATCCATGTTTTCCCATGGCATTTACTCACTGGTGCAGCTGTGCATTTACCTCAAAAACACACACAGCCTCCCAAGAGTTACCAACGGATCACAATCATAAAAGTTACAAAGACTTGCTATTTTGAATTACAACTGCAGTCTGAGCATGGTCTTTTAAAATGGATCATGTGAAGAAATGCTGCATGAGGGTGTCAGTGGGAAGTAGGAGGAAAGACTAAAGATCTGACTTGAAGACTTCAATAGGAACATGATCTTCTCTTGCCTAAACACCATTTGTCTTGCCTACTATTTTTCCTTGGGCCTTTCTAACTGAATAAAGCACCTCTGGGTTCTGTGTGTCCACAGTGACACCAGCAGGAGAAGAGAAATGCAAGGGCCTTACTATAATTTCTCCTTTGACCAACTCAACTCACTTCAAGATGTTACTTTTCCTTATTCTAACTTCTTCTCCCCCCTGTCTTTTCTTTTAGGTTAAAAGGAAAAAAAGAAAAGGAAAGAAATCTTATTTGCCTGAAAAGCATTCATTGACTTTACCCAATTTCCAAACATTTCTATCCAGAATCAGGCTCTGGTTGCTAGGGAAGCTAAAAATCAAAACTCCACTTACGGCACATAGGATATTTCCCCCCAACAATTACAAGGAGAACTGTACTTATGTGAGCTCTCTTATCTGTCTTCACAAGTAACAATCTGCCCATGATGTTTTTAAATTGACCTAAAAAACTGGAAAAAAAAGATTCCTAATCCATGTTCAACATTCTCTCCCATGCCAAGAATGGCACCATAGAACCGAAAGGAAAACCTTTCAGCCTTGAGTGTAAAATTAGTAAGAATGAATGTTACAATATACAAAGAGCATTATGACTTCACAGTTTCTTGTGAGGCACTTTAACGCCGCAGAAATCAGAAGTAAATGTAAAAGTTAGAATGATTGAGCTAAAGTGCCTTTTGCTGTAACAGTGTAAATGGAAGACCCATTAACTCAAATTTTGTGCCAGGAACTATAAATAACATTCCAAATGCTGAAGAGGCTTCCCGCGCCTCCCCCTTCTCCAAGACTCTTCAAAATGCACAGGACTTATTTAAGTGTATGAGCCCTGCACAAAGGGCTTACACGACTATTCCCATCCCAATAATAGCCTAGAAGCTCCACCGTGGAGAATCTTATGGATAAATCACTTTCATGTCTGCAGAAATTTAAAAAGTGATAAGGAAACTTCAACTCATTTTACGTAATGGTAAAAGGGAGGAAAATACTAGAAATTCAGCACCATTTTCCTCCTCACTAACTTTTGAATTTCCAACAAGTAACTAGTAATATGGTATTATTATTGCTCTTCATTATATTCCCACCAACTGAAACACTAAAGCAACTTTTTTCATACCAAACAGGCAAATATCCAGATAACAAGACCCAAAGTTATAAGAAACTAATAATGAAAAGAAAGCTTATGTACAAATACACTGAGAAGTTAATTAAACAAACAAAAAAGTGTGGCACTTTTGTATTTAGCAACAGAAAAATCTCAGATTTAGTTATTTCTGCATATGAGAGATGGTAACACATCTATCCACAGACCTTAAGTTGCTCATCCACAACCCTTGTGACTTCTCCAGCCATGGATTCAAGTGTCTCTTGGATTGGATTGGAGAGCGAACCATTTGCTCCTGCCCAAGAAGCTCCACCGAGGTGATACAGATTTGGTAGGAGCTGTAAGACAGAAAGAATATCTTCGAAAAGTAGGCTCATCACTGTCTTCAAGCCTGGACAAATAGGAAGAAATCTCTCTGCTAAATCAAAGTCTTTATAAATTAGAATTATTTTGTCACTTCCAATACCACCTATAACTGATCATCTGAAGAAAATACGCTTTTGTGACAGACTGGTATTTCAACTTCCCCAAAAGAGAAAAGCTGCAACCACACACTGAACTGCTCTCAGTATTACCAGTACGCTGGGAAAGGCTTACTGTTTTGGAGTTCTTAGCATCCCGCATAAGCCGTTCCGCAGATTTGACATCTTCCTGTACAGCATCCACACCACAGTTTCTTAAAGAGTTGAGATGATCTTGCACTTTAACACATATTCTATCAATCATCTACTTGAACAAATGACACAGAAAAGAGAAAACATCAGAATGGTGGTCAAATGCAAACTGAATTCATCCCAGGTAAAAAAATCAATAGTAACATGATGAGATTTGTAGTGACAATATAACAATCTGGAAATGCATGATCAGAGCTTAGAGGTACATCAATGTCACTGAAGAAAAGCATTGTATCTCACAAAGACACCTAAGCACTGGAAAAATAAATAAAACTTTACCATTTAAAAACCCAATAAATGCTTTTGCATATTCCCCTCCCCCCCCCCCCCCACCTTAGTTACCTCCAGGATAACTGCAAATAAGCAACAAGTTACCCATTTCAAGTGTTGTTCTGCTTTTTTGGTGCAAGTTTAATACTGAGAATGTTGTCAATTCTACCACTTAGCTCTGAAGGTCCCTGAATTGTTAAGAAGTTTAGACAGTAAAAGAAAGCTCTGTCAACAAAAACCTAGACAGTTTTTTCCTGTCTAAATAAAATGCAACTGTGCAGGACCATTCTTTCAAATGTAAATATTCCCAGTTGCAAGGAAACTACAACTACCAAACCAGAAGTTTCCATCACACCTTTTGCAGTGCAATAAACTGAACCTAAATCTGTATCTGCAACACAATTCATTCAACATGCTGAAAATACAGGGCAGGTGGTGTATTTGCATCCTTACATGACAAAACAGTAAGAATGCCTGACATATAGTCAGTTTTGATTAAGATATATGGGGCAGGGAGACATAATAGTTAAAAGTCTTTATCAGCCCATGGAGCATTCATTAGAATTGGCTATTTGACACTTTGAAGCAACATCTGAGCACACATGTCATCACAATAAAAAATCAGGAGTTCTAGCACATTATATCATTAGCAACAAGAACTGAAATAATTTCACAGCATGCTCCTTTTCTGCTCTACATGACTCTTCTTCTTCAAAGGGTTTTGGATGGGGGTTTTTTTGTATAAGTATGAAAAGCTAATTAATTATTAGAGAGTGGAAAGTCCCATTGGGACATCTGGACTGAAAAAAAAAAAGAAAACACAAAACCCCCCCAACACTGGGAATAATAATGCAATTCCACCATTCTGACTAAAGAATCTTCTCCAGCTCTCTATTAAAACTGGTTTTAAAATCCATCCTCACTGTACACAATTTTATATAGAAATGAGTAATTTTACCCTACTTTTAAAATAACAATAAACTACATTTACTGAAACCTGATGCCATGTGTGGTTGTTGGAGAAAAACACAACTAAAACCATCAAGCTATGAAAAGATCTAAATTTAATTCAGATGAACTTGGGAAACAAAGGTGGCTTTGGAACAGACAAATTACTAAACCAAAATAAAGTGATACTGCTCTTGTAGTTTTTAGTGCCAGTATGTCTCCATATACCATTTTCTCTGTTGAGAGGTTAAAGTACAATTTTGGGCTCTAGTAATAAAATTCTGTCCCATTAAATCTTAATAACACAGGTAGAAGGAGGCCAGTTTGAATTAAGATGCATAAAAAAAATTAAATAAAATGCAGAGAACAAAGAAATTTCATTGACTCAGCTGAAAAGCAAACCAGGTATTTCTCTCCTGTTTGCTGGAGTGTCCCATTTGCATGGCAACACAACTGGTGCAAACAAACATGGAAGTAAATTTAAAACAAAGGCTGTGACAAGTTTTATTCTGCTTACACCACCTTCCTTCAGTGGCGTACTGGACCTGAAAACAGACCTGACGGGTACTGGCAAGAAATGCACTAGAACAGAGAGAATTGTAAGCTACCACAGAAAACACTTGCAAACCTCCCAAGAGAAAGGACAAAGAAACAAAACAACATGTGCATTTAGGAAACCTGATAGTGGTTGACAAAACACAAAAGCTTCCCAGATTCAAGTGGTATTTTTGGCTGTGTTAGACAGGAAGGCTTTTCAGCTGTCTGGACTATAAAGAACACAGAAAAATTCCACCTTCCTTTGCTCCCACTCTCTGAGTAAAGCTTCCCATGATACCCACAGTTGTGAAGGTGTAAGGTAGACAATGACTTACTCTCTCAGGCTATTTGCTCTGGTGGCACCTAAGGGTATGTTTACATGGTTACTCAGTGCTAGGCAGAGAGACTGGAACTGACTCAGACTCCAAAACTGGCACAGCATTATGATGATGCTTGTCACACTGACGAAAGCCTGCTGAAAAGTCAAGACTCTCGAGCACGAATGAACTAAACTCTTCCTGCTTCCAACAGTAGCTCACCCAGAAATAGTCTGGGTCTTTCTCTACACAGTGCTACTACACACAATGCCCCCCTCTCACAAAACCTTGCTTTCCTTCACAAAATATCATTAATAATTATTATTTCTTGGGAAACTAAGTTTCACCCTCAAGCACATCTTGCTTTAAGCTACTCTGACAGAATGAGAGAGAACTTTGCCCCCAGGCAGATTTTAGACACTGAGAAGTACCAGTAAGGTACAAGGTCTCACCTGCTGAGTGGTACTAGTGACAATGCCTTGCTGCAGCCGGTACGCTTGCTCCTGCAGGTACTTTCTGGTCTCATGATTACGAAGCAAGTAGTTTTCTATCTAAAAAACAAAACCAGATTAGGAAACCAATTCAACTCTCCACATTGTAATTTGCTTTCATCTTTGCTGTCGTATCAAAAACGGGGACTGACAGGAAAAACTGCCTAATATTTGTTTGTTATCTGCAAACCTTGTTTTGTGTGTCTCAGCACTTAATAATTACATTGGCAAATATTCATTCACTCATGGACTAGTGAAACATCATTAAACACCATGCTTTTGCCAGTGTTTTCTGAATTAGTTTTCTATTTTGAACAATTTAGTAAATTACGCTGACAAAGGAGTAGATCCAGGTTTGAGAAATACTAGAAGGGACTTGATCCACAAAGTGGTGTTGTAGAGACCATGGTGACACAAGATAGTAGATTCATTTCTTTTAGATGCATTTGGCCCGCTGCAAAGACACAGATTTAAATAGCAGTATGGCCTGGAAAGAAGATAAAATATCTGAAAATGCCTAACTGATACAGGAGCCTCAGAACATAAGTGCTCTTCAAAGACAAGTGATTCCTACTTACAGCTACTGGTCACAGCCTACCACAACTGTCACCAACAGTAAATACTTATTTCAGGCAGCTTACTGGCACATACAGTAACCCCCTAACCTGGCCCCGTCAAACTTAGTACAGTAAAAAACCCATACTAGCAAACATTTAAGGTTCATCAAAGATGATGGATCTGGTCTGAAAAGAAGAGAGGGGTAAAGGATGGGTGAAGTGGCCAGCAGGTTGTAAGGCAGAGACTCTAAACCTGCACCAGCAGCAAGAACTGCAACAGTGTGACCATGCCCCACAGTCATGCAGGGTTTACCCAGTTTGGGCACGCTAAGCGTGCTGCAGAGATATTGGAGCTCGAGAGGTTAGCTACCATGTCCATCTGGTGCTGGACCAGGGCCAGGAGCACTCTCACTGTACTCAAGCTGTGGTCTGCTGAAGCATACAGACCCTCCTGAGATGTTAGTCAGTTGAGGTGTCTCCACACTGGGCATGACAGCTCAGTTTGTGCAGGCAGGCATTCCTATGTGCATGGAATTAGCTGTGTTCACAGCACCGCTCCCGAAACCTTTTCTTTGGAGAGAACTTCCTCGTGTTGTGTAAAGAAAGCCTGAACCACACAGGTTAAAACAAACTCAGGGCCTAACAGTTTAAGCAACTTTGACATGAATAAAAGAAAATGCTCTTTATACATAATGCCTAATTAACACGCAGAATTTAAACCCCCATGGCCAGAAGTTTCATGATTTTTTTCAGAGATGCATCTATCATTCTAGGTATGAACCTATCTATAATTATATTAAATGAGATGTAAGAAATACCTCCATCCCCCATGACTCTTTTTTTTTTTAAGCAGAATTTAATCATTTTATGCATCAAAGAAAAAGGCACTAACTACCAGCACTTTTCCCTGTGAGAATCACTTTACTGAAAATTTCTTTACTAATAAGGATCATAGACATTTGCTTTTTAATCACAGTTATCTGCAAGAACTATTTATCGGGTTTTTATGACCTTATCCTGGCTGAAGGAAAACTGCTCATTAAAGAGCTTTCTGATTGAACAGGAGGCTCATTTGGAGCTTGCAAGATTTACTATATAAAACTCCCAGCTGTGTGCAAGTGGAACAGCCACAGATACTGTCAACACCTCTTCATCCAAAAGAACATGTTGGTGCAATTGTTTATTTAGGGCAACATACTGTGTAGATTTTATATGTACAATATAAAACACAGGCAATAAACATTTTCATCCTCCCCCAAAATTAAAGAGCATCCTTTGTCTTATACAACACTGACTGCACTTTTTATGACAAAATGAAAACCACATACCAATAATTCTATGCACATGGAAAGACACAAACACACATGTGACAAACATGCCAGTTTCTAACTCTCCCTTTCATAGTTAGAACTCTCCCTTTCACAGTAAGGCATACAGCAATATGAGGTCTAGCTCGTACTTACTTAGTTACGACTTTTTGACACTACACTATTACATTCCATTAGCCTTCACTCCAACCACTCTTTAGAATGAAAAGCCTTATATGCTCTTGCAGCATTTGATTACCACATACATGTCCATGCAAATCAAATAATCAATGAATCTAGCCTACAAGTTTTACTCATGCAAGCATGAAATCACAGCCACTTAACATTATTACTTTATTTTTAGTGGTTTTATTTCTGTAAGTTGGGTGCATATGCAATACCTTTTGCAGTGCCTCTTCTGTTTTCTCAGGGTTTGTTTTGAGTGCTTGGGAAGCATCATTCATTGGTATAGGCATGAATCTCAAAGTGTAATTCCTAAAGAAAAATAAAACATTTTTTAATAGTAAAAGTTAACCTAATTGCTATGCCTCTTTATGAAGAATGAACTAAAGGGAGAAATGAGATGCATCTACCTTGTCCATGGTACTAAGAATGTATTTTTCACACTTTAAGTGAACTAACTGGAGGCATGCATGCTCCTTTTTGCTCCTAATTCTTCTTTGCCACTAGATAGAGGTGGAGATTTTGAAAAGCAAACAAGCAGTCAAGTGGCCAATTCCCAGTGGCTGTCAATTAAAGCCCAAGCTGTCCTCTGTACCTTTGTGCACAAGGTTGGATTACTTTTTCCTATATCAAAACAGAACAGGCAGTGTCAGTGCCTGCTGGGAATTCTATCAGATCTAAGTCTAAATGGAAATATTTGGTAACAGACAGATAGTAACTAAGAAACTGAGTTTTGAAAATTTACTATTTAATAACTTTTTGTGTTTACAAGGATTTGAAAACACTTGCTGAATTCTTAATAAAAGCTGACAAGACATGCGTAGCATCTCCGCACTGCTTTATGCAAACAATTGCTCCCTGCATTTTACTTATTTGCTTGCAAAATATTTCCATAGCTTTGTCCATCTGCTGCGAAATGAGAATGAAGACAGGCTTTTGGTCTTGACTGAAATTTGTGTTTAAACTCTGAGAACATAAATTGGCTAGCATGACGCAGTTAAACCTAAAACGCTACGTGCAGTGTTGTACCCACACACCATCAGATTTGAATAAATGCAAACAAAACAGCAGGAACTTCTTAAAACCTGCAAAGGAAATTATTCTTCCTATTTTCAATAGCCTTAATTTCCCTCTAACATCTCTTCCTCCTTCTTTGGCTGTCTGCGAACAGACCACTTCTGCTCCCATTCCACACAGAAATACATAAATATGGCTGGAACCCTGTATTCTTGAGCACTTTAAAGTTGACAACTACAACCGAGTCAACTCCACTGACTTCAATGGACCCATCCTCCTAAACGCACACTACTGTGAAACTCCAAGGTTCTTTCACTTCCTCTCCCACCAGTTGCTTAGCCACATGAAACACCACTCTCTGAAGGACAGCAGTCTTCTGAACTGCCAAACACACCAATGTCTCATACATACTACCAACATTTTACCTTAACTTATAATGAAAAACTTCTATGTTTCTTCCCTAATGTAAACATGTCAGTGTGAGGGTAGTTGAGGCACTGGCACATGTTGCCCAGAGAAGCTGTAGATATCCCATCCTTGAAAGGTTGGGCGAGGCTTTGAGCAACCTGGTCCAGAGGAAGGTGTCCCTGCCTGCAGCAGGGGAGTTGGAACTAGATGACCTTTAAGGTCCCTTCCAACCCAAACCATTCTGTGATTACAGAATCTATATATAGCTGTCAGTGTCAGGCAGTTACTCACATGGAGTCAGCAAGGTCCCTGTCCTTCAACAGTGTTCAACTACCTTGTCCTTTGAGAGAACTGTGCAAATAATACAGACCCTGTTTTGTGTCCTCATGTAATACTAAACAATTAACAACTGGCTGCCCACCAGCATGGGGAAAATTTTTAAATGCCAGAGATACCAAGCTCAAAGTCAGACAGTAATTACAGAACGTGCTGATTGCCTGCTACCTGGCAGGTGGTGTTCTTGTTTAGCTAAAAAGAGAGGTAGAATTCCAAGGAATTCTGCAGCTGTTTGACATTTCATATAACCCATTCATTGAAATCTGTAATTGCCAGCTCTCATGCTAGTAATTATATGCTAAATTCAATTTAGTCAAAGGCTTAGTGCACCGTCCCTCACACACACACAGAAAAAGGGTGGAGAAATGAAAGGCAAAGAGATTTCACGGACATAGAGTCACAGGGGCCGAACTTTAGAAGACTGCTACTTAAGTGAGGCTCTGTACTTGCTTTCCTTCCAGACAGACAGTATTGTATTGGAATGCTACTTTATTTTCATCTAAGAATTAACCAGCTCTTGGGGGGGGGGGAATTTAAAAAATCAAGAATTTAAAGCTTGCTTTTCGACTTTGATCATCAGAGCAGTATTTATCTTCACGCTTCATTTTTCTCTGTTTCCTTTGAAGTCTAAAATATTCTTCCATTCTTCTTTTTGTTAGCGCTCCACTTGTCTCTTGTAACAGAGTATACTTCTCTACCAACTGGATAATCCAGTGATTTCATAATGCATTAATACTCTCAGCAACATAACTATACTTAAAGGATGTCAAATTTCAGAGAGGTGCTAAGAGACTGGAAAGGATGTCTCAAAACCATCCTGTCTCTCCCTCTACACACAGCATGTGTGACAACAGTCCTACATTTGGTCACGTTATTTCTCTTGTAGCAGCTTCTGCCCCATTCATGACATACAGTCTTTGCTGCACTGATGATGATTTTACTAGCTATCTTTTTTATTTTAATGGGAATAAGATCATCTATTTTGAGGGCTTGGGCATGTGAATTTCATGTTACTGCTAAGGGAAGAATTTGTAGCCTTCTAACAAATCCCAGCATTTACCATGATATTTTAGAACTTGAGCTATTTATTCAGTCTGTACAAAAAAAATATCTTTTAGAAGTGAGTGTGTAGCAATAGTGGACACTCATATGACAAAGCGGGCTCTAGGCTGCAAAGCACACAAGCACATCTTATTTTCATATTAAAATTACAGAGATACAAGTCCCCATTTAATGGCCAGGCTGAACAGGATGCCCACTATTCTCACATGCTCTCCTGAACTGCAGCTGTACTGAACTCTACAGAAGATCCTCTCAGCATCTCACATCAGCTGGCTGGGACACCCTTGGGGCAACTCTGCCAACAGCCATGCTCCTGGAATTCCCGTGCAGGAATACAACTATAAACAGATGAAAAAAAGCTGGGAGAAGGGGAAAAAACAATCTTCAGATTCCTTCAGCCTGTTTTAAAGTCTGTTACAATCCTTCCCAATTCTCCTCAGCCTCCGCGTAATACTACAAAAGCCTAGCTTGCTTCTTTTTAGTGGTTTAGTATATGATTATTTTTCTGAAGAACAAAATGAAAACAACACGCACAACACATAATACCCCCAAGCATCTTCAGTATATTTCGACCCATTTTGAGCAACAGTTCTTTCCTACAGAGTATTGATGGTTTCATGGTTGTTTAGGCAACATATGGTGGAGGATGTTCTCAATATGTTTTCGAGATGAATTGTTTAAAGGCTAATTGTTTTCAGCCAGTATTGAGAGCCCCTCTCCTGCAGGTTTAAACCTTTGTTGCTTGTGGCTTGGTTTGTGATATTATCAATGGTTTTAACAACTTAAAAATGTTACAGGAGACATAAAATGACCTCAGCTTCCAAGCTAAATAAATTAGATGTCACCTCAACGAAGCAGAGTGTCACACAGTTTTCTGTAGCATTTCTTTTTTTTCTGCTTAAATGATTTGCTTCTGCCTTAGGATTTCCCCCTCCTTTCTATTTACTTATACACGCACTTCAAAACAGAAAAGTTGATGCTATCCAGAAAATAGGTATATTTTCTTTTCTACTAGACTGTCTCTTAAATGCACATGCTATTGCTCTCTAAAAGAGAAATATCTGCAAGCTGACAAATAACCTCTGCAAATTATTATTCAGTACTATCAATAGAATCACTCCAAGATGATTTGCTTAATTGTACATCATTTATATAATTTTCCCCATCAGCGCAACTGAATTAATTTTGAAACCAAGTATATAAACTACAACAGTTTCATAAAACAAGTAACTTTATAGGCTCTAGTCTCATGACCACTCCAAGGGTTAAAATGTTCCCCTAAGTAGTTAAACTATTTTGAAAGACATTTTGTCTAGGACCTAGCAATTGTACATTACCTTCACTCCTGCAGACAGCCTTTGTTCCTGAGGGATTTAACGATGTGACACAACTGCAACTGCTGCTTAATCTAAATCTGTAATTTTTCCCTCTTAAAAAAAGTAGTAATAAGGTATAAAGAAATGTGATGGAGATGGAGATAGATGAAAGTCATTTAGCATCTATCACTGGTAATGGCTGCAACTGTGAGTAAGCTCAGGGAAGCAAAATGACCCAGACTACAGTGATTACAATGAACAACTGCAGTTCCTGAGATCACAATTAGTTTCAACTTGCTTGGGGAAAAGAAAAAATAAAAGCCAGCCCAAAAGGCATGCTTCAGTAATTTTCTGTTATTACATACAGCTTCATTCACTGACAAGAATAGAATTTCTGCATGCTAGGCACACAAAAGAATGAAGAAAAGGGAATATATTCTCAAATTCAGAATTTTAATGCCAACAGTAAAACTCAATGGCCTTAATGTTGATAGCAGAGTGTGAATGAAAGAGCCTTAGAGCCTTTTCCCATCCTTTTGAAGGATGTGAAGTCATACGTTTTCCTCTAAATTGAGCATCCTGATGCTTAAAATTGAGAGCGCTCAGCATCTTCAGATCATATTGACTGGAGTGAGAACTGCAGCTGCTCAGATCATTCAGGATCTAAGTCTTTGGCTTCTTCATCAGTCATTCAGTTGCTTGAGAACTTACTTTTCCAGTGCCACAGCTATGTCCTGGAAGCCCTGTGCAGTGATGTTATTCTTGTCCCATATTACGGTTCTGAGACGTGGGGGTGGAGAAGGAAGGGGGAAAAAAAAAAGGTTATACAAAAACCACTGAATAAATCGATATTGAAATCTTGTGTATTGAAATAACCTAGTGCTGTATGTTAAAAGTTGTATAGTGGAAGGCAGTATTTTAAAAACCTGTCTTTAGTTATACCTAAAACCTTGAAATGTCAGAAGTTAGGGACAAAGATACTATAAAATTCAGCCTCCCTTTTTTTAAAGAAGACTCTGTACTGTATTTTCCACCACCAACATAAAACTTTCCTAAAATACAGTTAATAGAAGGATTTGGAGATAAAATTCCAGCTTTTTCCAGGAACAGAATAAAAAATAAAGTTCAAGTATCTGCTTTTGCAAGTGCACACAGAAAATCAAGAAAATTACAGTAAGCAATCAATCCCTGTTCTATATAGGCTATATGGCTAGTTATAGAAAAAGGTATTTAAAAAATTCATGCTGAGCGGTAGTCAAAATTTGCAGGCTATTGTATATTCAATCCTGCACTATCTCATCATACAGTTCCTATGATTCCACATGCAACATAACTAGCTGCCAATATAGGCCTGAAGGGGGCCTACAAGGATGCTGGGGCGGGACTCTTCATTAGGGACTGTAGTGGTAGGACAAGGGGTAATGGCTTTAAACTTAAACAGGGGAAGTTTAGATTAGATATAAGGAAGAAGTTCTTCACAGTGAGGGTGGTGAGGCACTGGAATAGGTTGCCCAAGGAAGTTGTGAATGCTCCAACCCTGGAGGTGTTCAAGGCCAGGCTGGAGAGAGCCTGGGGCGACATAGTTTAGTGTGTGGTGTCCCTGCCCATGACAAGGGGTTGGAACTAGATGATCTTAAGGTCTTTTCCAACCCTAACTATTCTATGATTCTATAATCCATTAAGTTAGGTGCATAAATTGTACCTCTTTTGAATACACAACAGTGATATGAGTGATCAAGCCACCCTCCTCCTCCCCCAGTTTAGGCCACTCAAGCAGACTGCCTGGCAATTTGTGGACACATGTTCAAAGTTCTCATTAGTAGTCAGAAGAGACAGTCAAACAGATAAATGTTGCTTGTGCAAGAGCACTAGTTGTAGCTGTTTTTTTAAAAAAAGAAGGGGCAAAAAAACCCCAAAGATTAGTGGCATTTAAAGAAAAAAGAGAAAAGATAGATGGCAGCGTTTCACAGGTACTGACAGCCTTCTGCTGTTGCAGAATTATCCCTTTGTTTTTCAAATGGAAAGATGGAGGTAAGGAAGAGAGGAACACCCACTCTGCAAAGACCAGATATGCTTAAGGTCGAATCTTGGATATTTTTGTCATTGGAAAGTGTGTTTATATTTCTACCCGGATGTGATGTTGTAACATTTTAAGCAGAGCCAGTTACCATTGCATTATTCAGTTTGTAATCACACCACAGACTGTAGACATTATGTCAACTGTGACATTCAGCGTACTGTGAAACATTTCAGTTTGCCATCCTGAAAGCTGTCAAGGCTTTATTTTGTCAGGTACAGTGGTCATTTCAGGTTAATACATTCAATAAACCTAAGCCACCTCTCCAGTGTTTTCTTGACATTTCAATATTCAGTTTGGACTCAGCAACACAAAAACCAGAATCCCTGCTTCTGAATAAAATAGCCAAGGCTGTTCTAGGGAATTTCTTATCCTACAGGGAACAAATGCTTGGAAACCAAGCACAAAGTGGTCTCTTCACACAGACAATACACTGAGGAAGGTTCATCTGCACAGTCTGACAAGAGGAGGAGTGAGGATTAGCTTTACAGATGACGGTGACATATTTAGAGGTCTCCATCCAGATTCATACTAATTGAAGGTTTTACTATTTGCTAATCACATGCTGGATAGAAAAACAGTGATACTCTCAAGCCATCAGTGACAGACATGTGCTAAAAAGCAGTGAAGTTGTCAGGTGGAAGAAGTTGCAGAGAAGAGATGCCAAGGTCTTTACTTGTCAGTACTTTAGTAGGGAAGGGACTTGTCAGCACTTTGGTAGGGAAGGGACTTGTCAGCACTTTAGTAGGGAAGGGAAAGGAGGTCCATGCTGCTACCCATTCTGAATTCCACATGCTCTTAGTTCTCCTAAGAAACTGATACTCCAGAAGACAAAGAATAATTTAGTAGTTTCCCATCAAACACCAAATTTTCTCTGCTGGGAAGGCCTCCAGTAGAAAAGATTGAGCAGAACAGAAGAGAATGGCTAAGCACTGGAACAGGGTTTCCAGAAACACTGTGGAATCCCTGTACTTAGAGATCCTCAAAACCTGCCTGGACAAGGCCCTGAGCAACCTCCTATAGCTTTAAAGTCAGCCCTGCTTTGAGAAGAACATTGGATAAGCTGACATCCAGAGCTCTATTAACAAGGTTGTTTGTTTGGTTGGTTTTTTTTCCATGATTCAAGGAAATATAGAGTTCTATTGTTCTAAAAGAGGTCTTTCCATTTAAATTGAAATTTAGAAAATGTAATTTTCTCCAGTTTCAGTTACGGAAATGTTTTTGCAAAGACAGTTTACTTCTCCTGGCTTTTGTTATTTTACTGAAGAAAAAAGGATGAGAATCTTTCCAAATGGAGACACTATAAAGTGGCTATACCTAGAAGAGTTCTTAAGAGAAACAGCTTAAGAATAAGACATCAACTTCAGTGTTATTAAGCCATTCTATCTTTTACTGCAAATACATTTCCCTTACCTGAGTTTGGTGTTTATTTGTAAGGCTTTTGCCAGCATCTTTGCTCCCATGTCTCCCATGGCATTTCCACTAATATCCACTTTTGTAAGGGAAGTATTGCTGCCCAGGGCATTAATAATGATGGTGACCTCAGTCTTCAGCTTGGAATCTGCGAGGGACAATGACTGCAGAGGCTGTGGAGCATAGAAAGGGCACTGAGAACAGCAACTGATAATTCACTCATTCCTCAAACACCAACCAAAAGTTACAAGTTCCCCAAACTCTTGGAGACAGCAGTAATCATCAAAGAGTTATTTCTGTATTTGCTGCAGATCCTACAACACGTGATAAATTGGGAGTCAACAACTTACAGCACAGGTGTCAAACACATACACACAAAATAAGCTGCAACACCCTGTGTTGACAGTGCCTTCAATTTCCTGTGTTCTATTAAGTACAGAATACAGTATGAACCCAAAAAGAGGCAACAACCAGCTTTGCAAGATGATCTCTAGTGTCCAGTAGGTTTTGCTTAACCAGCATGCTTCCCTGTCAGTGACAAATAAATGTCTAGCACTTCCCTCCTCTCCCTCAGACTGAGAGCTTTATCCAAGGGTAAATTAGGATCTGAGACACTGCTGAAACAAAACCAATTCCTTTAAACTGTTTTATTATTACTCAACTTTAGGAGTGATTTTGCTTATCTGTTCCTTCAACTAAGGGCATGGGCATTTGGGAAGAAAGAGACAGGAAACTGTAGCAGGTCTGAAATTAAAAACAGTAAGAAAGCATCTATTAAAATGGGTAAGTCAATGGCTATTATTCACAGTGGTGTTCTGACACCTCTGACTGCAGTATCTTTACGTAACTTTATACATACATACCTCTATATATAGATACACACACACTACACTATGCTGAAACTACTTTATTCGCCTCTGGCAAGGCAAAGTCCAAGCCTTAAGAAAACCTCTTTCAAAAACATTTGTATTCTCTCAGTGTCCCAACACTTGACAGCAGGAGCCTTTATTCGCCTCTGGCAAGGCAAAGTCCAAGACTTAGGAAAACCTCTTTTAAAAACATTTGTATTCTCTCAATGTCCCAACACTCAACAGCAGGAGTTCAAGAACCACAGTTTATCCATCACCATGCCTTGCAGATGCATTACAGCTGCTAAAACTGTAATTTGTCTGTGCTGATGTATGAGAACTCCAAAAAACATTTCGCTTGCTCAAGTGTGAGTTCATGCAGAGGAGTTTGCTGTCATTATACAACTTACTGGAGGATGAATTTTAGGAGTTAAAATGTCCAAATTACATGTCCAAACTAAAATGGCCGAACTGCCAGTATGGGAAAATCAGTATCCTGCAAGGATGAACCATGGTGTCCAAATTACATGTCCAAACTAAAATGGCCAAACTGCCAGTATGGGAAAAATCAGTATCCTGCAAGGATGAACCATGACACCTACATTAGATGCCTGAAGCTTAGATTAATATAAATAAATCAACTGAACTGTGCACACCTTCTGGAGCCCAAGATGCATTGCATGGTACCTGTTATGCAATGGGACTCTAGCCTCCAGACACCACTGGATTACAGTGATAACTAAACTGCTTGCAACAATAAGAAAAGCACTTACAAATGAGGGCATGCATAAAAATTTGGAGGCACAGCAGGTTTATAATTAAAAAGGCTAACAGTAACACAAGCCACATGCTGGTTTTATTTTAAATGGAAGTTATTAAATTACTATGTTAATGCCCTTAATCTGTCTATGTTTCCCATTATGTATTAAAGAATATTAGCATCACCGTAGAATGGCACTTACAGCTCTTGGCACAAGTTTGAGAAGACTTCCTGCAACAGATTTCACAGAAAAGCAGCACCACTCAGATAGAAATTGCCAATAAGCTTGCGAAAGTCAAGTTTTTTCTGCTTCTTATACACCACTTTAGAAAGGTGCATTTGGGTAACTTAGCTGGGCGTGCGCCCTCCCACATATCAATTTTTCTAAACCTCAAATACCCTCCCAGGAAAGGATTTTTCACCTCTCACATTCCAATACTCTGAAAAAACAACACATTATTGAAAACACTTCTGCACTGTGCTCTGCAAGGATTTACACCTATATATCATTACTACCACACAGAAAATATGTACATAGCACAGTAAAGCACCTACTATATTAGCAGTGGCTCTGAAGTAGATGAACTGCTATTTTATTTCCACAACTACCCTTATCATTTACTCAGTGAACAAGGAGCAAAAAGCTCTGGACTCACTTGGTGCCCTGAATGCAAACTACAATCAGAACTTAACTCTGTTTAATTAAACATACAGGCTAAGTAGTCATTAAATTCATTATCTGACCATTACATTAAAAAATTCAACAAGAAAAAAGCCATGCAAACCAAGTCCCCCAAAATAGGGGCAATACTCTACATAGCCTATGAACACTAATTCCTTGTAACAACTTAGTAGTTTAAGCTGGATATTAAGAAACAAAAAAGTCTGACAAGCAGTTCAGTGTCCCTGCTGTAGAAATAGATACTTTCCAATATAGTGAAGATGCCTTAACACCATCTTTTCATGAAAGAGGAATTCTTAAAGAATAGAATTAGAAATTGTATGATTGTATGCCACTGATTTTGTCATACTCCTGCTGGAAAACATTTAAGAATTAAATCAAGCTAAATCTGTTCTCCTAACAAGAAAATAAAAAAAAACAAACAAACAAAAAAAAAAGCTGTAAAAACCCTCAGAAGGCCAATTCCGCAACAAACATTAACTAAAAACTAAAAATACTCAGCACTGTAGTAATTCTTTGCACCTATACAGGAGTGACTACACTCTGAGTAATGACACTTGGCATTGTAACATCAATTTTTGCAACAGGAAATGGCACAGTACAAATACATTACTATAGCCTTCACAGCATAGCATCTACATAAATAGAAAAGAACTGAAAAGAAACCCCAAATCAATTTAAATATTGCATTCTTGTTTACATTAAGCACCTGGGAAATTTCGCTGTGTAGGTTACTACTACTGCTTTCAAATTGTGTAGAATTATATTTGTGTCTAGCTCTATTTTTAGAGTCATATAACCAAGCTACTGATTGTTTAAATCATTTTACTCATGACTCACATTAGCACAGCAACGGATCTATTTAAAGCATGTATAAATACATGAAGAAGCATTTGGCAGATGACTGTCTCAGATTAAAGCCTCTTGCTTTGTCTCTCCATGAAGATATTGCATGGTCTCTAAACTGTACCAGCCTGCAGGCAATATTGATCAAGCAGTATGCCCTGGGCAACATCATACCCTCCTCTTTCCAGTTCCATCTGACTTTTAATGTCCTGTGGCAGTAAATATAGTAATGGTACAGCAACATCTAATGGTATAATGAGGACCACCCCATTTAACACTCAAAACCGAATCAACATCACTAGAAATTGAAAATAATTTTCTAAGCATCAAGGTACAGTGAGGACAATCCTATGCAGCTAATTGCAACACATGGTTTTCCCACAGCACCAGTCTACATCCTCAACTCTCTAGCTGCTAGGAGATGCTTCAGACTGATTTTAGCACCTGATGAGACAGAAAGAAACAAGGATTCTTTCACTCAAGAGGATTAACAAGAGAAAAGAACATGGGGAGAGAAAAGACAGGGTAACACTGACAGGATCATAATCTATATCCCAAAGATTAATGCATAATATGAAGGAAAGACAGTTATTTTAAGTACCTAAATAAAGTAACTTTCTGAGGGTTATTTTGTGGTAACACTGTTTGAAAACAGGATGAGACCACAGAGCATGTTGTGTAGGTTAGCTCAGGAAAGACATGGTGAGTAAGAATTACAGGAGCACATCTGACCACTAGATTGTGGAAAAGGCAGAAAATGGAGCAATGGCTGATATCGCCCATGAGCCGAAAAGAAAAAGAGTGCAAGAAGTTAAAGCTGATGATGCAAGGGAGGGAGCGCTGTGAGAATGATACATCCAAAATTTAGCAGCTACTTTTTCTTTGACCTGGAAGCTTCCAAAGCAGAACCCAAGAAAGATAAACAGAAGGTTTTAACACTTAATAGAGATAATAAGGTGAAATTTGGAATTTTTATCCTTGAGAACAAAGAATATGAACAGGATAGTCATACAAAGAGGAAAAAAACCCAAAACAACAGAAGGTTTGTACACTGAACGGACACAGAGTTTGTTAAGAGGTATTTTAGGATATGGCCTGAGTGGGAAGAAATGTTCACCTGAACCAGAGCAAAGGGATGAAGGAAATTGAGAAAAAACATACAAAATTACCTTTGCTTGTGAGCAATACGTTTTGATATAAGAGTCTTCAGGATAGCTGTGAAAGATTAAACATGAGATACAGGGCAGGACAGAGACAAACGTTCAGAGAAGAAGCAGCTGTAATCCGATTAAATGATACCCCTCAGCATGCTATCAACAGGAGAAAAGGGGAAATAAGTTTTGCAGCATTCCCTTTATAGACAAAGTAGAAAGTGGTCACACATCACAAAATGAAAAGGTTAGTTTAGTACAAGAAGTAATAGAGCGGTCTTCTGATGCTTCTTAGCACAATCCATCTGATTTGAGCAAACAAGGACTTAAAGCTTTCATCAAGGACTTGCAGCTTTCATTACAGGTGCTATCTCCATTAGAATCAGCTCTGGTATTCACACACTTCACTGCATCACACTGACATCCCATGTTTTAAAGTCATGAGGCAAGCAAAGAATCAAGAAGAAACAGTACTACTAATCCCAATTAAGAGGACACAGAGAGAACAGAGAGAGTTTAACAAATCACTTCAAATACTACTAAGCTGTAACAAAAGACGAACACAGAGCATGGAATCCAATACCTCTTTCATTGTATGGAAGGAGATATTGGAAACCCTGGTAAAAATTGCTCCTCTGAATTGCAGGGTACAGATACAGATAAGAAGAGAAAGTAAGAAAGCAGTTAATGTGGAGACCATGAACTTGGGGGTGAGACAATAAAGACAACAGGAATAGCATAAGTTTAGACAACTGAATTCTACAGTCAGCTGTTTCTGGAGAGTAAGGAAAGCAGGGCTTGCTTGTTACTTCCACAGGAAATGGAGGAGAAAGAAAGGACTACAAATAGATGAATAAAGATTGACAAGTATGAGAGCAACAGAGCATCTTAAGATTTCCTTCTAACCAAAACTAGGATGCCAAGTAAGGTAAGAACACAAACCCAACCACAAAAGTCTTTCAGAATCAAGAAAGAGGGTGGAAATGAAGAAAGTGGGCAAGGATCCCAGCAAGGCACTCTGAAAGGGTTTCGTAAAATTGTTCCTGTGATTAATGTACTAGAAGAAGTAAAGAACAGCACAGTGAACAGTTTTTCTGCATTTTTTGAAGGAGAAGGGAGTTCTGGGAGATCACTGCAGTGACTTTGTGTTTTGTCAAGCCAAATAACAGCTATTAGGAAATAGTGCATTCTATTAATTAGAAGTATCACCACCCAGAGAACACTACCACTGAAATCTATCAGGGCACAAAAGTTTTGACAACTTGTGCCTACAGGGCTGTATAATTTAAACCTAAAACAACTAGGTTACATACATCCAACTATTTAGAATGAGCACTTTTCAACAAACATAGAGCCTAAGACTATCCTAAGAAATGTTCACTTACATGCTACACATAATCCAAATTACTATTTGAAAGGAAAAAAAAGCCCAAACAACCAAAATGCTGGACATGTTTGTGCAGGATCATGATCAATCTTATGCAGCAAATTAACACAGTGAAAAAAAGTAACCAGAAAGAGGTTGCAAGTGTACAAATACACATGATGATAGTAGGTACAAAGATACTCACTGAATCCTCGTCTTGAATCATCTGAACTAAATTATCAAGTACTGGAGTGAGATTTCTGAGGGAAGAAAAATTAGGGAGACGATGAAAGCAACAGCTTCTCCTCATCCATTCTCGTTATTTAAAAGAAAGAAAAGCCTTACTTGGATTTCATGTTGTTAAAGTTTTTGCCTAACGCCAAGTGCCTTATCGATCGGTTTTTACTAAGCCAGACTACAAGGGTTGAGAGGTCAGACTCTAGGCCTGTAAAGAATCAGATAAGATTAAGAATTAAAACACATATTCACAAAAAGACCCAGACAGGGTCTTTATTAATGCTATATTCATTCAAGTAACTATATCAGTGTACTTATTTCCAAGAGCTCTAGAAAAATTTCCATTCTTCTGTTTTTAGATCTTTTTCTCTTTTTTGTCTCTGCTTTTCTATGAGAACAAATGCTTCCTCTAAAATGAGCCCTTTAAATCTCCATCCTAATCAGCCATCGAAGATACCTCTCAGAAACACAGAAGAGAAACATAGTTCCCTTATCCATAGTCCAACCACCCAAGGGCAGTTCCTTGCATTGTCGGGCAGAGTTTAAAGTTCCTTTGAGAATTCTGAGACCACACTAACTGCTATTTAATCTTAGCAGAGCTGTGTACCAACAAGGTCTCAAAGCCCTCAAGTGCAAAAAGGCCAACAATAACAGGCTATGAATAATGACCTGAAAAACAAGCCAAATTTTATTCTACTCCCGAGTAAGAAAAATAACTTGCTGTAGTACCGTATTCCCACACCAGTGATGCATTTGAAGAGTCCACTAATTAGATGACAATGACCTAGCATCCAGATCCACAGGATAATTTGGATATTAAATATCTTTATTTATTATAATAAACCTGTTTACATAATTGGGCTGAGTCAGTAGCACCCAAAGCTTTCCACTTGCCAATCCATCCCACCTTTCTTGGGCATTCATCTGTACTGGAAATCTCTTTCTGAAATACTTCAGCATTTGGCTGTTAGAGGAGCAAACACAGCAGGTGAATTCTTCCAGTTCATTTACACTTCGAGTCTGCAAGACGAGAAGTCAGCTGGTATTCTCAGCTAAGAAGCACAGAACCCCCAGCATAGGAATAGTCCAAGACTCCAAAGACTCCAACAGGCCTTCTCTGACCTTAAGCTGGTTGACTGTTCACTCCAAACTTCACTCTCTTACTTCAGTGTCATGGCTTCAGTTTCATTCTGTACCTGCTCTTTCCCAGTCTTTAACTACGCTTTCATTTCTCATTTAGCTTCTCATCCACTTGTACTGAAACACACTTTCTTCTAGATCTAATATCACGCTTGCTGCCATTAATTTATTTTCCTGTGTTACATTAACTCAAGCAACAAACTTCTGCCTACAGTTAGTCTGTTAACATTTCTTATACGCTTGATATCAATGGGAGTTCTTGGTTCGAGATATTGCCATAACCAATACAGTCAATCATCATCAAGCTAGAGTGACCATCCTTGATTGAACTGTGAGCTGAAAGAAAAAGTTTCTCAAATTCTTGACTTGCATGATCCTCCATTCCTGTTCTGTGTACTTACCATTGTCTGAAATATCTAGGCTGGTGATATTGTGTATTTCTGCTATGCATCCTTCCAAGACTTGCGCACCTCCAGATCTTAACTAGAGACAAAACATCATCCATTTTTGCAAACTAGTTACGGTTTCAAGATCACACAGAAAACAGCAGTAGGAGCTTTGTGGATACAGAAGGCACTACCAGCAGCAAAAACAACAGCAACACAAGAAGTTATAGACATAAAAATGACAGCCTATGTATACATTCATACTATTCTTACCCTTCTAACTCAGTATATGCATATAAATGAGAAAAAGGACTCTCTCTTAAAACTACTGTTCAGCAGTTAACATCGGTAAAAGATTTAAATGTTATAAGGAATCCTTTAGCATTTGTGCTAGGCAGTGACTGCAGGATTTTGGTACTGGTTCTCTACATGAAAGGGCCAGGATGTTTCCAATGTCCAGTGATAAAAAAAATAAAGGGAGCCCAGCCTAAGTGTGCAACACTGTCACCCTCGGATGACAGTCAGGTCACCCTTGGAAGACAGTCAGGTCTTACAGCGAGCATCCTCTTTCAGCTCTTAGCACAATGCTAAGGTGCCCCAATCAAAGATGAGTAGCAAATAATAAAAAATAAAAAGAAAATAAATTAAACAAAAAACCCCAAACAACAACAAAAACCCACAAACAATAAATTTTCTTTTCAGTGGAAAAAAATTGCTTTTTTTTTTCCACTGAAAAGAAAATTTAAATAATCCAATTGTAAAATGGCCACAAAAGACCAGAAACAAGAGAAATCATTAATTTTCATTATTCTTAATTTAAAAACATGAAAGAGAAAAACAGCAATGATAAAAATGCCTAGCTGGAAAGTATCGATTATGATATAATTAACACGAAATATTACATGAATAGAAAAGAAACATCAGGATTTAATGAAAAAAAAACCAAAAAACAAACAAACCAATTAAACAGCCTAGGGGAAAACATTAAGACTCAAAGTTGTGAAAACTTACACATTTATTTAGTAATGCTACTGAATTAAACAACGCAATGTATTTTTTTTCCCCAAAGAAGCAAAAGCATTTTCTTAGTTCTTGCAGCTACACAAACTAAAGTGTATTTCACTTTATGAACATCCCCCAGAAAAAACTTAAGCAAAAGAGGGGGAAAATTCTACTAAAATCCATTTTCACATTTTCCATTTTCACTTTCCTTGCTTTGAAAACAAAAAAAATTGAAAGCTTTTTCAAACATCAAACAGCCTTTTCACCCCCTGTGCATGACAAAAATAATAGCAATATTTTATTTAATTGACTTACTTGGCTAAGTATCCTGAATCAACCTGCGGATATTTCTGCAAATAGTCTCTTTTATCCATTTTATAACTAAGGAACCATATATGCCTTCTAGAAGTATTATTCAATAAATACTCATTTGGCATTGTCTATAAAGTTTGAGATATGCGACTGGTTAACAAGCAGCTCAGTAACTTGGCCTGAGCATTTAAAGAACACTGGTGGTCAAAGACAGCATCTAAATCGTAAGTCACATCTGAAAGTGTAAGAGATATAGAACGTAAGGCACCTTTCCTCTTCAGCATAAAACTATGTCTACATATCCTTCACCCGATCCTCTCAAGAAGTGGTCAGATTAAAGTCTCTATTTGGTGCAGAAGAGGTGCAATTTTAACTCAACTTTATTTTTCTGAGAGCATTTGTAGCATTTGCTGTATACCAAAACCATTCAGTTTTGCTCTGTCCTGCTCTCTTAGCGTGGCCCACCAGAAAACAACCATTTTACAACACAAAATGTCACATCTATTATTGCAGAATCTATGGAACTGTCAAATCATATATATATATGTGTATATATATCCATCTATCTATCTATCTGCCAGTTTGCATTGGCTTTTGGTACTATGTTTAGTGCTATGCACTTAAATTATACTCACAATAGAATCCAAATGCTTATGCTATATATACGTTGAGGATTGAAGTGGACAATTTTTCATGAGCCGCTTTCAATCTTGTACTGATAACTATATTCAAAATCTTAAATACACAAGCATTTCATGGGTGCATAGGGAGATACCGATTTAATCCGAGGGTGATGATAATTTGATTTTTAGGATCAAAATCTACTGCAACTCTATGAAAGTGTGTATGTATATATACATACACACAGCTAAATTGAAGAGCTATTTATCAATGTGGACTGTGATACTGAAAAAAAACAAACCGTCTGCAAGATCTCCTATATGACATACTTCTGAGACTACAGATACAAGCTTTTATTCAGAGAAAATGAAGAACCACCCTTCAACAATTAAAAATACCAAGCATGTTCAAAGCTTTGAGGGCAAACAAAGCTGCCTACTGATTTAACAATTAAGGTAAAGCATGGAAAGTACTTACACAGTGACCAAGCTAAGGGAAGCAGAAAGGAAAAGAGTGCAATACATCAGTGCTGAGCAGGTAGAAATAAAAACGTAATTATCATAGTAAAAATAATTAAAACAAAACAAATAAGCAATATAAGATGATTAAGCTTGGAGTTAATATATCAGAAAATTATGGGAGCAAATGAAAAGTGGTGGGAGAGGGAAGGATCAGAGAGATTTATCCTTCCATAATTAAACACAAGCTTGCCTGATGTAGGAAAGAGGAGAACAAAGCTGAAGCATCAGCTCTCTAGCCTCCTAATAGCATGTGCTTCCAGGAACCAGGAGTAATGCAGGTCAGAGCTTCCCATAGGTTTGCTTCTGGGTGCAGATTACCCTGACCGGCTCACAGAGGGCCAGGGAGACATGGAACAGGACCCTGCAGTGCTGGGCCCACTGAGAGTACTCCCAGCTCCTGGCACATCAACTCTCCTGATGGTGGAAGCATAACTTCTTTCCAAAGCACATAAGAATGGATAAAGCTCAGGGATGTGAAAAGAAGTGTTAAGGGAAGGATCTAAGGAAGTGCTTCAGTTTGAACAGACCAGCTATGGGCATGTAACACCATGAGCTGGGCACAATTCCTTCCTTTCTGTCATCAGAGACAGCCACGATCGTATGTGCTTTGGTGTCCAACAAAGCTAATCGCCCCTCAAAGGGCTCCTCAATATCCGACCCTGGAGGTTATATAATGAAAGAATAATGTTTTCACTCCTGTCAGCCCTTGCTGATTTACATGCTAATTTATACTTTCATTACTTACATTTGTGTTTTATTGATTTAGTCTTTTAAGGTTATGATTATAGGATTTTATTTTTGTTACTTAATTACTCCTCCCTTTTCCTTCCTCTCTCTGAAAGAAAAATTATCATCCCTCTGATCTCTCCACTCAGAAGTCAGAAGCATGTGTACTTGACTTGAAAGCTTTTCTATTTGGAATTTACATGTAGTGCTCTTCAAAGTAATACAATTTTTAAAAAAGTATAAAGTATCAAAACAAGCTATGAAATGCATTCACAATGACTTGTTTTTTCTTCATAAGGAACTCTGTGCACATTCCAAAAGCAATCCACCACAAACCTAAGGCAAGGATTACTGCACTGCAACATGCTCATCAAATTACATGTTTTCTACTTAAAGGGAAAAAACATTACATTTGAAAGGCACTTCTAGAATAGTTAATACTCAGGTGATGGACTTGGAAAGATCTGCCTAACAAGTGGTGAGAGGCTTTCTTTGCACCTTAAAAAGGAAAAGTTGGCTGCTCAGCTTAGAAAGGGCTTGAGCCTAAGCTGGTTCATGTTGGTTTTGGCAAAAGTCCACACAGTTTTCTGTGTAGCTTTGCCTCACTGGCTCCCCAGGGTCATGGCTGATCTTTTGTCATAAGCCGTAGCCATTTTTGCAGGCATCGTCCTGCAAAAGTATGGACAATCCTGAGAAACAAAGTGCACAGAAAGCACAGTGAAGCAAGAGGAAACACAATAAAGCAAATAAAGTTGTCACGATTGTTTTTCTTTATTCTTGAAATATTTAAAGCCATTTGCACAGTGCCTTTTGTGTTAATGGCATGTTTCAATCAACTTTTACCAAAGCTCCCTACTGGCCTGGATTAATTGATTAGGAAAACAGAGTTTCTCACAGAGATAAAAAACAAACCTGAGAAAGATGAAGCATGTCTCTGGTTTTGAAGGAAAACAAGCAAACCACAGACACAGCTTCAGGGCTTCCTGTGAGCTATTCAAACTTGGACACATTGGAAAGTCCTGCAGCAGGGTCCTGTGTAATCACAGCACCAAGAGCAGAAGCTGCCAAGTAGCAAACAGCATGCTGGCTCAGTATCTAGAGCAGCTATGCTGCAAGGAGGGTTTTGCCAATCTGGTGCTGCAGGTGCTTTGAACCTCTGGGCTCATTATTTAGGATGCTATAACACAGAGCAGCTGATTTTTACCGTAACTGCTTCTCTGAGTTCTACCTTTCCCACAACTTTTGACTGCAGAGGATTTCACGAGAACTCTAATTCCACAAGATTGCATCTTTTGAACACATCCTGATAAATATTCCTTACCTCACAGCTACTGAGATCTAAAGACACCTCCTTCAGGTTGTGATTGCAAGCCAGGCCTAACAAAAGCGCTCTGAAAAAGATCAATTTTAGAACCATTTAAAAGAAAAAAAGAAAAGCAGCTTTACATCATCATCTAAGAGGTCACAGGTTAATACACCTATAATGCAAAGAACCATTTCAAGACAAAATCACACTAGCTGAGCCATTATTTCTTAAATGACAATGGCAGCACAGACCTGCCACACTTCAAACATTCCAGCAGCTTAAAAACTGCAGGGATACAAGGCTAATAAAGAAGCTGTAAAGCTAATGCTACCTCAACATTTAATAACATTCATCAGAGATGAGTTTGCTTCAACATTTGCTTTCAAAGAGCATCAAGTGATTACAAAAGGAGTGTTCCATTGTACAACCACACTAGCTTTCTGATTTTACAAAAATTCAGGGGAAGATGGCACTTTTAATATATGCAAGATGCTGTGCAGGCTGCCATTTCATCCAGGCACAGTGCCTGTAGCACTCAAACACTGGATCGTATTCAAGTATCACACAATTCTCTCACTTCTGCAACCCAATAAATATTTACAGATTTCAGAACGATACAGATTTCAGAATGATACTCCCAGACAATGATATCCCTTGTCTTTAGGCAGAATGGAAGATAAGTGTAGCAATGACTGATCGTGATTTTCATAAATCCACTTTTAAAGCCTTACAGAAGCTTGTTTCCACATATAGAAGTTAATATCACATTTGTATTAACGCTGTCAAATCAGGAAGAACAATAGTATGTGTCTTAGAAGGAGTGAACACAATCTGCGTACACCTTCTAGCATCTTTAGAGTAGATGCTGCTTTCAATTAATAATTGAACAGAGAAACAGAAGGACTTCCTTCCCAAACTTCATTTCAGCCAAAACCAAGCTAACAGAATCCAAACTACTGATGCATGGAATAAAAACTAGTCCATTTTGCTGAGCCATTTGTCTACACACTTGCTATGCAAGTAGTGTGTAAAAGCCATATTTAAAATGTGTGCAGCCCAAGAAGATTTTTCATTGAAACCTATTTATATCTACCCTGTAGGTATAAATGTTAATCAGACCATCGCTGTTAACAAAGGCAAGTATCTTATGTTTCTTTACTTCTTAAGCTTCTAACGTACAGCCTTTGAAACAGACATGAAAGCTCCGCAATAGCTTTTACAAATTTTTAGCTGATCCTGGTCTATATTTCCTTCCCAAACATACTTTTATTTAAAGTTAGTCTGGCTGATGATAACTTTGCAAAGAACTTCCTAAATATTTTGAGGTAACATAAAAAATACAGTGCAACCATAAAAGAAAAACCAGATTAAGAAAGAGACACAGCACTGCATCAAATGTACTCTCTTCACTGGAAGAAAAGAGGGGTTGTTTTTAATTCCTAACTTCTTTCCTACTAACTCATCCTAAGAAAATCTCATGATTTCTCAATTCTTTGTCATGAAAAACCACCACCATTCAAAGGCACTGAAGGCAGACATAATTATACTTAGCCACTATGTTTAAATCGCACAAGGCAATACACGGAAAGGTCTTGTCAACTGTGCTAGATGCAGAATCCAAGAATTGGCCTTGTAATTAGCATTTGCATGAGAAGTGTATCAGAAACTTGTCTTGTTGCAGCACTGACAGATCAAAATATAACTTTTGGCAATGTCCGTAAATGAACAAAAACGCCAGCATACACTTAAATAAGGAAAAAAGTATAAATTGTTTCACTCAGTTAAAAAAAGGCGGGGAAAAAGAGCAAGCTGCGATGGAACATTAACTATATTAACTCTGCGTAAGAACTAAAAGCACCCTTTCCCCACCCACTACGTGGCATCCTCTCAGTACAGCTTTATTAGCAAACCTCTTCCCTGAAAGGCTTGACTTTTATTAACAGGACCATCAATATACAAGCAAGTTCATTTCCTTTGCTGACTGCACTGATTAACCAGTATCTTTAAACTCCAAGTAGCATATGCAATTAAACACGCCACAACTGTTGATCTAAAGGAATTTGATAAGAAAGGAATCAACTAACAATTAATCAGCGGAAATTGGGAATCAGTGTCAGGCATTTGCATTTTATCTGTATTTTCTTCTGTAGGCAGGCTTGTTCTTGAATCACACATGTGACTCAGTGACCTCTGGTTCATGGACATACACTAGGAACTTCTTTGTCACAAAGGCAGTTCCAAAGGCCAATGTTGTCTAAAGGATTTTGACATGCACTGATGGAAGATGCCAGAGAACTACTATTATCATACACTATGTCACTTTTATTTTTCCTTCTAGGAGATCATCCCTCATGTGCTATTACAGTCTTGGCAATGACAAATAGGTCTGCCTGAAAAAAGGTGTTTCCATTTTCTTGTGTTTAACAAATCCTACGATCTTGATTGTTCTGTAGAAATTGTATAAGTTTTTACAGTTCAGACCAAAAGGCTAAGTGCTGTACCCCAGGATATAGCACATCCTCAGTCATTTTAACATCAGATTAACTTCCACAGGATGCTTTTGAAGCATATTAGTCAAGCCACACAGGGTGTGAGAAGGAAAGCAAGGTGTACTGCAGATCACAGTTCTCCCTGCTGTTGTGAAATACATTCAGCTTAGACTGAAGTGAAAACTCAGGTCAGAGAAAGCACATCATGGAAACTAACGGAAACTAACTAACATCAACAGAAACTAACAAAATATTAAGAGCTCTGGCATATCTCCTAGGCAGAGGGGAACACTTCATAGCAAAACAAAAGCAGCCCATGCCAGAATGCCAGCCAGCTGAAAGTGGCATGGACACTCTGCAACCATCCATGTCCAGCTGGACACTGGACACTCCTCGCACCCCAGGAGATACTCAACATGCCATGAAGAGCTAAATATAAACCTTTGTGTTTGGGGCTTCTCACCTTTCCTAATCTGTGTAGGTGTAGTGTCTCACAGCATTCTTTTTCTCCTGTAACACTGATAAGATCGTCTTGTGTATATTGTGTATATTTTCCATTCTTCTGCTTCATTAAACATAGCTCCCTGCTGCCCTCCACCACAGAATCAATAGCCCTAAAATAATCAGAATGAACCAATGTTTCTCAATAACCACCTTCTGTTTGAAAAGACATCAGTATCACACCTTCCTAATCCTAGCAAAGCAAGACAGCAACCAAGAGCATCAAACAGATCAGTGAAAGATCAGAGGTAAAATGATAGGCTCTTACAGCTGAATATTGATTTCAATCCAGTGCATCCTACTTAAGTATCATATCATACTATTCTCTCCAAAGTCAAATTGCATTAAGGAAAAATATCCCAAAACAATGTACGCTACTCTTTTTCTGTGTGGCACTTTTCTCTCCCTTAGCTTCCCCCACATTGTATCAACAACTTTTCACCCAGTGGTCTCTAACTATTCTTTATAACCTGCATCTCTAATTTTGCCACCAACTTCCTTGCTGAGCTACTGCCCACTTCCCTTCCCTGTTTTCCCTCAAAAGGCAGGCTCCCAACCACATAAATATACATACACATATGTATCTGTATTTGTGTCCACACTAGGATTTTGGAGGTGTGTTCCCTAAAACGGTTAACGAACATGTCTAGGTGTCTATTATGGATAGAATTATGTATGTTTTAATGCCTACTAGTTAGCAACTGACACAGTGGAAAGAGCCCTTTCTTTAATTTAGCCCAATAAACACAAAGTTTCTGCCAGACTCATTGAATGACATACCTAGATCAGACCTATCTATCTAGACCTACCTTGACTTTAAAACATACCTTTACCTTTCATGCCTGGAAAGTTCAACACAGTTCAAAACTGCACATGTCTCAGGAAGGGTGACACAGTGCTCCACAATTTCCCTCACCCTGCATTAGGCTGTAAGAAGACTTTCTCTCAAGTACTCAATCTACATCACCAGAACCTTTTAGCCACAGGATGGGTGACATACAACAAAGAGATGCATTGCACTTAGCACTCCTAGAAGCTGCTGCCATTGTCTCTCCCCGCAAAAGGAGGGCATAGCTCTGTGCAACAGGTCTTTCCTCCCAAGCACTGCAACAGGTTCAGTTTCATAACGGCTGTTGCAATACTGCAGCCTCAAAGGAATGGCACTCACACAAGTACATAATCCCATTTTCCGTGAAGCGAACAGTTTTGTTTGTAAGCCACAAAATAAGAAATATATCACATAAAAGATGTTGATGGAAGCTAAACTGCTGTGACATTCCCACAGAATGAAATATGATGTGAGATGGAAACAACATCTTCTGAATGCATCATCATCATGAAACTCAGACCATGTATCAATAATGTACAATGGAAGAAAAAGAAGGCAAAATCCTTTCCCCTTCATTTTTAATATAAGGCACTCACATAACAACAATGCAAACTAGGTTTTAAGTAACAACAGAAAATGGAAGTCTTACTTTAGAGGCTCAGGAGGGAGTTTAGTTCCCGAAAGATTAATCTGCATCAAAGCAAGTGAGCTGCTGAAAAACTGTTTGAAGGAGGGAGGGACTTCTTTTCCTTTTCTGTAAGTAAACAAATGCATTAAGACATAGCATCTAGACACTCCTTATTCCAATAAACAGTGAATGTGAGCCGTTAGAATTGCAATGATCTTTTTACGTGTTTAATTTGCTCTACCTTAAACAGCTCTGTAATCAGGGGCTCTCAATTAGCTTAGAATTATAATGTCATCAAAATGTTGATTCAACAAACAAATTTCAGCATTGCACTGCTGCACAGAAGACATTACTATCTAGCTTCTGTTTGCTGAACTACAAAAATGATCATTTAGGTCTGGTTAATAGTGAAAATACTTGTATCTTATCAGCAGAACATCAAGCAGGACATGACAAAGACCCAGTGCTGGAGTAGCTTACCCCCAATTAGGTATCATCTCTGATATAGACCCAAGACACTGATTTGAAGAAAATGGAAGCTAATATTATTATTTCCTAGAGTGCAAGTATTCTATAAAGTCAATGTTAAGTCTCAAAGACTTTCAAAGGGACTTCCTCCCAGAAAAGGACAAAAAAGGGAAAATGTATTTGTAACCATCATCAAACGTTACAAATCGTTACACTGAAAAATACAAACTTCAAAAAAAACCCCAACCCAAACTTAGAGAGGAATCAACTCAATCAGACTTCAACGCCTCTTAGAGACAAAAGATATGTATAGACTTTCCACTGCATCAATATCATAGAAAACATATTAGACAAGGTAGCTTATTTTACAGCACAGAAAGGGAAAGAAAGTATTTTGCTTGGAATAAATAATACCTATTTCATAAAGCACTAGGACTTCTAAGACTATTATAAAGTCTTAGATTCTTAGAAAGAAAAGTGCAAGATAAGAGCAAGAAATGATAAAACAAAATATTGCAGGGCTTGAGAGTAATGATATTTAAACTGTACCTGTGAGAAAAGAGAGTCCTAGATAGGCTAAGGACAGCTAGATGCTGAAGACATCCACGAAGGAGGGCTCCACACACCTGGTTTATAACAAAGAAGGCTGATTTTACTTTATATTAACCCAAAAAGTGCCTAGAGATAGAAGGTGGGGAGCGTTTCCTTGGTATTTGAATCTCCAAGAAAAAATGTCTTTTACCATATCTAGCGCACACTCCGTGTTGGATAAATCCAGATGAACAAGGGCATTTGGTTGGGCCAAAAAATTGTACAGGCTCTATAATTGAGGGGGAAAAAAAAAAATCCATGTTAATTTTGATATTATGACACCAATTACTGGATCCCTACTTCTCATTAGATTTTAGCTTTTATTATAAAATCGGGCTACAAGAGTTGTGTCTGAAACTTCTTTTCACCTGATCAGTAAAACCCATTTAACTTTTGAAGGCTATTATTTTTTAAAATAACAGGGGAAAAAAATGGTGTTCAGACTACATTTATCAAACATGACTCTTAATGCACAAGTCTTGAGTTACCTTCCAATTCACTTTTGAAGCAAATGATACTTAATTTAGCTAGAAATACCTTGGAACATCACTCAGATTGCTGTTATATTCCAGAAAGGCTAATTGGTTTGTAAGTTTAAACCAGCCCCTTGAAGCATGAGGGAAGCAACCAATTTGCATCTGAAGCCCATGGTTATTTCTTAGTATCAGCAGTGCATTACAGGTTTAAGAGAGAATACAGAACAGGTAGTAAGTAATAATATGACTGTTTCACTAATGCATAAGGTATGTCAAGTAAATGTTAGTGTATTTAAAACTTCTTACTATAGCTTTATTTTGGGCTTTTTTTTAGTCTCAGAGAACAACACAGAAAGATAAAAGTATGACCCAATTCACAGAAGCAGGGAATGCTCAACTCCACATGAAAACCAGCCAAATAGAGCATGTTCAACATTTCTAAAATAGATCCATCTTTCTAAAAACTAGGCCATTTAGCTCCTATACATACAGTGCAACAAAGGTCCCTGCTTTAAAAGTCCCTGTGCTTTGCTAGGGTTTATTTTAACTGCTAAATAACAGGATTTCCTTACTCTCATTGGAAAACTGTTCCACAGATTAAGAGATCTTAGAATTAATCATCTTTTTCTTTGAACCATCTCTCTCTCTCAGACATGCTAAGAAAAGCCCAACTTTTTGTATTTATGTCCCTTAAAATACTGTAGGTAGATATCAGGTTTCTTTAAGCATCGCCTATCAAAGTTGTAGATTTTATTTTACTTTTAGTTTTTACATTATTTGCTATGTTATTCTGCCAAAGAGTAATTCACTGTGTGTCTTTTCATACATTTAACTATTTGTTTGCTAGCTTTTAAATCCTCTTGTCCCACTGAAGCTCTCATCTCTTGTATCTAAAAAGACTAATTCTTTGAATATGCTGATGAATCTGAAGCCAGTAAAATTTATGAAAAAGTCAGTCATGTCTGACTGCACTTTAAATAAGACTGGGTGACTAGTATTGCATATTTTAGATGCTTAATACTTAAAGAATTCAAAGCCTGACACTTACATACACACAACTTTTGATGCGAGAGAGAAATATGGATTTAACAGTCAAAAAGTGAATACATACAAATTGAGAACTAAGTGGATTCTGTTATGGAGAAAATAGAGCTGCACCTCTATGGCAACTGGCAAACTGAACAAAGGAATTAAACAACCAGTTACATTCGTCACAGAATCATAAACTTCAACAGCACGTGTCAAGGGGGTGCACAGATTTATTTATACAAACAAAAATATTGAAAACAGGAAATTCATTCCAAGTCCAAAGAAGTAATTTGTTTCCAACCTTCCAATGAAAAATTTGTAATACACTTATCACTAAAAAGATGAGTCCTTTTGCTTTACTTATTTTCAAACAGAACCTGGGGAGCATGGTAAGTCCACTGAAACAAGTGGCACCATTGCAGTTTCCTTACTTATCAGAGAAGCCAAGGATTAAAAGCATGAACTAGAGTTAGGTGGATTTGTTTAGCTGTGTGGGACAATTAATTCTCTAACTCTACAGTGAGGAGTAGAGATTAAATGTTATTTTCTATTCCTACTAGAAGTGCACTGAAATAAAGGCAAAAAATGATCTAAACTAAATGGCTTTGCCTTTCTCTTAACAATTAAAACATCCATTCATTAACTCCCAAATGAGAAGAATGTGCTTACTGAGAGATCATCACCGCGGAGCGCGTTCCCTGAGAGGTCAAGATAGATGAGCGTGCTTGCAATCAGCGAGTTGGCACTCAGTGACTGGGAAAGGCTGTTCACCCCTGCCAAGAAAGAAAAGCCTGTCAGTACTCAACTTAGTTGCCCAAACCCTGCAAGTGCAGTTTCAGTGAACACAGACATACATAAATGTTTAATGACCTCCTGTTACCATCAGTGTACTGCAGCAGGGGAATACAGATCACCAGGCAGATATGAGACTCTTCCCTGCTACAATATGCGCAGCTTTGAATGGACCATGCTCCACCAGCTGCCCTGATGGAGCCACAGTATGTTATAAGTCCCAGATCCAGAGAAGAAATCTTTCTGCCAAGCCTACAGTGGCTTTGACAGTGCAATCCCATTTTGAAACAGATTTTACTCCCTAATGTTCAGTCAGTGTCTTCCTGCAAACAATACTATTTAGATAAAAGTAGCTGTTGCAGTAGATGAAAGTATCTGTGAAAGACCAAGTACATTAACAATTATAATTGCAAAAACTTCAAAAGCAACTGATGAGATCTAGAAATTGAAAATATTTCAGCTAATGTATTTGCCTGCAATTTCAGAAAAACAGTTAATTAAAATATCAAGAGATGCATAAAGACTCTCAGTTCCTGATCAAAACAAATATGTAGTTCGTACATTAAAACTAAAAAGCTCACATTAAGAACAAACCAGTCAGAGCGTTCTTCCTCTGAAATTCTTCAGCTTTTCCAAATACAAATTAGGACGTGGCTATTTCTAACTCCTTCAAATCTAACTTAATGTAATGTCCTGTTAACAATTCAGCATGTGGTATCAAGAACCAATTATGTGAATTCAGGAGCCGTGTCTGAGCTTGGGGGAGAAGAGGAGCTACCAAACAATCCATGATGTTGCTGCTTGCTTCACGTTCAAAAAGGGCCAACTGCTCAAAATCAGCCACAAGAGTGAAGGCAAACAATGTGAATGAAGAATTTTTTGATTAGCCTTTGGCTTGGGCTCAGAAAAGCAAGCCCTATCTTTGAATGAGTATACTAGAATTTTCCATTTAACCACAATCTTCAAATCAATAAATTTCTGTTTGAACTTCACCTACCTCATGTTATACTCTCACAGTAATCTCACTTTCATTTGCAGACAATCTTTTATGCTCTTTTACTGCTCTCAGGAGGCTCAGAGTGTTAATAGCTCTCAGGAACTTTGAGATACAATATTTGAAGAAAGATCAGCTGGGAAGTTACCACCTGAACTTCACTTCTCAACCTTAGAAACTTATCTCAAAGAGAAAGTTCTTTTTAAGTAAGGTCAAAACTAGTGAGGGATTGTATGGAATTTCTGAAACTGAAAAGCTCAAAAAACCTGAAAAAAAAATATTAAGAAAATAAAAAAAAAGAAGAGAAAAAGAAAGGCTGGGGGAAAAAAATTAATCCATGCACCTTAGAGCCTACTGAATCCAATATTCGAGGTCTCCTTCAGACTTCCCCGATAGAAGGTATTACAAATTCAAAAATAGCCTCCCAAGTTAAAACCAATACAGTACTGTCTTCTTAAGTTAAGGGAAAACTGGCTAAGATAGACAGCTTTGCAGACAAATAGAAAAGTGAAGCTGAGTTTTTTCAGGTCAAGAGGGTTATTGAGAATAGGGAATAAGAATTCCAATTTTAAGACACTGCATATACTTTTTTAAGGAATACTAAGAAGCTGCCATGGGACAATATTCATGGTGACATGTTACTCTCTGGAGAATAGATAGTTACTGAAGCGCAGTCTGGTCTAAGATTTGCATGAGGTATTAGACATACCGGGAAATGTTTTCAGCTTTGTTTCAAGATTGTCTTTAAAAAGTCTGTTAAAAACCTTCCAAATTCTTTTCATAATCTCAGAGTTCATTTTCACTGACAAGAGTTTTGTGGATAAACTTCATCAAGCTGGCAATTTATTCTTTACAAAGACAGAAGTGTAGCTAGAGTGTTCTCTGACTCAACGATCTCATGCACTTGCTAAAATAATTCAGATTCCATAAAGAAAAGCACAGGGTGAATGAACATACCAGACCCGCATGACTTTCTGTCAAATTCATGAACATGTAGTGTCAAGAGTACATGCAAGTTGATTTTTAATCAACTGCTTGTCAGTAAAAATGGAGTTAATGGGGAAAAAAACCCAACCCCAGAGTTTAAAAGTCTTTTCAAGGAAAATCATGATTGAACAGATTCAGTTTATAGTTTACTATTTACTTGAGCATAACCAGAGATACAGACACGCATTAAAAAAAACACCAAAAACCCCTTCTCCCCAACCATACTCCCCCAGGTCAGCCCTTAAAGCTTAGGAGAACACAGAATCTGCACTTCACAGAGCAGTAATTGAAAGGATAAAAGACCATGGCTCCTATCCGTTATCAACTAATGTCCTTTATAGACCTTAATTCATCTTTTCCAGGTCATCAACATCTGCAAAAAAGATTCAATAATGCTGGTGTATTTTTTTCTATTTTTAACAGTCACGTTCTATCCCGGAGACCCTGGGTTTACGCAGCCTGCTCGAGAGCTGGCTGCACCTATTATTTGTAAAATAGCAATGCAAAAAAACGTGAACGCTTCTGACTTGTGTTTCATTGTGTGTGTCATTGCTTTTAAAATATACATTTCCGTTACAATATCAAGTCAGACACTTGCAAGCTACAAAACAAAGAAATCTTTACTCAGAACAAACCACTTAACAGCCACTGTCACAACACATGGTTTCGTCAAATAATTGCATGTTACACATTTTTGCTTCAGACATCTTTCTGAAGCATATATGAAACATATCTTTTATGCCAAGTCTAAATTCAATCTTTCTTGAACAGGTTCAAGACCAAAGCTTAAAGAAGTGAGTAAGAGTTTATCAAAGTGCTGAAGGGGGCATAGAACACAGCCCACAGTTCAGCAACCCAGAAGTGCAAAAAGCACCTGTGCTGCTGGGAATACCAATGTAAATCATTTACAGAATCAATTACTTTATTAGCTGTTAACAAGAAGTAGTATTACGTTGGAAGCCTGAAACTTCTACATCAAAATAAAGAAACATACTTATAGAATATACCTTTAGGTGACAAGGAGGTTTTAGATAAATTTAAATGTTTCAGTCCCTTTGGAAGTTTGGCGAACTGGATGCTCAAAGATGACACACCTGTTGAGGAAGCAAGGAGAAAATGGACATTTTTAGGTTAACTCTGTGATCTCAGGTTTTCACAGTAATCACACCAGGGGCAGATGGTACCGGTGGAACTACAGAACTGCACTCACTGGGGGTGGGGGAAAGCAAAATGACCCTATATTTATGACTGTAAATCTTTGAAATGATTGATATAGTCAAGATACATTCTTTGCTAACCACTGAATAGATACGTAATTTTGCTGTTAAAGATCAGTGAGTCACCTTAATTAATTTAAATACTATATAATACACACGTACTTTGGAAAAGAAGCCAAAGGGCAGACACTACACATGTCACGCCATCAGCGCTTAGGAAAACTGGAAGCTTTTTATGGTTTAGCCAAAAAGCCCCAACATAAAAAAACCAACAACAAAATAAAAGCCAACAACAGTACTTCGTGTAAAGCTTGAAACTATTTTTACTATCTTTTAAAAGGAAGGGCTGTCGAGGAAAGAGAGACACCCACGTTAGCCAACACTGCCCTCTTTTTCTAAGGTAAACACTAAGAACCTGAAATGTCCACTGAACCATAACAGCCACCTAATTCCCCTACAGGAGCCTTCAGGATACAGGACACAGGCTTGAAAATGCACGTGATCCTAAACAGTAAAAACCCAGAAAGATGCTGACACAGACTGGACTACCTCAGCACAAACCCAACAAAAGAAGAAAACCCCACAGCCCAACACTTTCCATCAAAGCCATTTCTCACAGTATCCAAGTTCCACACTCCATAAATTTAATTCTTCCATTTAAGCAAAAGATTGAAATTTGATTAAGAGGGCACATCCTAAATAACAATGGAACCAATCTTGAAATATTTATTAGAGGAATAAATCAACACAGAAACTCCAGGCTTAGCCTGAGGTGTGAAATATAGTTCTCTACAGCAACTTGGAGAGAAAAGAGCAGAGAGAAAGAGGGTAAAGATGCAAAACACAGTAAATGCAAAAGCTGATACTCTTTTCCACATATGCAGACATGAAACAGTCCACTAGTACATCACACACACGTTTACTCGGCTTTTATCATGTTTTAAGTATCACTGATAACGAAAGAGCAGCTACCTTGCAGATACTGTTGGGGGGGATGGTGGTATTTAACCCTCTCTGTAAAAATATGCTGTGTATGCTGGTGATAGGTACAACATCCATGCAGCTCAAGACAACATACTGTATTTTATTTATGTTGCCAAAATATGAGACCCATGAGGCGTTGGCATCATTTATTGAAAAGCACAATGGTAAACAACTTTCAGCAAGAATGAATCAAGTCATATTAACAGATTTTCTTTAACAGCTCTACTATTAAAAGAAAATATCCTTTTACTCCCTCAGAAATAGAAGGCTCAATCTATGTTAAACTGGCCTCAGAGTTTATAATCTGTTGCGGACTGTCCACATTTCTTAAGCTGTGTTAGTCACAACACATGCCTTCAAAATCAAGACAGAGTTATGCTGGCAGAAGAGGAGAAAAAGGAGTACAATCAGAATCATTAAGGATATTTTTTGTTGTGTAGGATTCTGAGTAAGACATGCAGCAAATAATTTTACCTCTCGATCTGACTATTCTTGTTTAAGAATCCTAAGATTTTTGTTTAGCTAACAATCTGCATACCACTTACCACTCTAGCCAAACAGAACATTTTTAACATCTTACCAGCACTGGGGGGTTAAGGATCCACCCAGTTTTAAGACACAGGAATCAAGTACATAAAGGAAAAAGTGCTTCTGGTCACTCAGGCCCTTAAATGCTCTTTAAGCCACCCATTTTTGCTAACTTCATAATAGACATGAGACCTGTAATGCCCAAAGTAGAGTTAACTGCATCCAGGCACACACAGTTCTGACTTTGAGCATTTCTAGGCTTCAGCATGTTTGTTTTGCATTATTTTTAACGAAATACAAGATTAAATCCTGATCCTCATAGAGCCAAAACAAAACTCCCATTGCCTTAGCATGGCTAGATTTTAAAGCCAAGACTGATAATAAACTTTCCAGGTGTTAGTCTCACAAATATTGACAGTACCATAAAGGGAAGCCAAACACACATTAAGTGACTGGTCTCAGTGTAAATCGCTTCATATAAACACTGCTTTGTATCTGAACTGAAGCCAGATCTTATGCCTTATGGATTTCCTATGTTATTGTAATACTGACAGTTGCATTAATGTAATACTATAAAGTCTTTACTTATTTGTGCTCAATAATATACAACAACTTAGGGTGATTTTTGTTCAAACAAGCCACAATAATACATTCTTCTCCATAATTCACACAACTGTGTTATTTCCTTTATAACTGCAAAATAATACAGTAGAACTTCCAGTTCCTGCAGGTGATTTTTCAAGAGAGATTTTCCGAAATACCAATGCTTACAGGAATCTCCATTATGCCAGCTTTTACTTGTGAAATGCTTCTTCCCCTTCAAATCTAACAAAGTCAAATCTACCTTGCACTCAGTGAATATCATATCACAGGACACGTAAATCTTTCTTAAACTGAAAAGCTGAAATATTTGCAGATTGCAATTATAGTTAATTTCTTTTTAAGTACTCACATAATTTACCTAATTCCCTAAAGAAAAGGTCAAATATTAATTGCGTATGTGATGAGAGACTGAGATAATGAAAAAAAGAAAAAAAAACCCTATTAATTTCTCCAAGATGTAGTTGCTGCATTTCATTTGTATTTTGAATGTGGATGCTACAGAACAGTTTGAATCTATTGAATATATAAGTTTGTTGCAAAGTAAGTACCTACACTGACATGTTAAAAAAAAAAATCCTCTGCACTATACAGTGTTTGTCAAATGTTTGGTGATTTGTTTTGCTTTCAAGATAAAGACGAGTTTCTTTTAAAAGAACCTTTTAGATAACACCATCTAAATCCTCCTTTTGAAGAAGTGTACCAAGAACATAACAGCCTTTTTCCAGCTTGCAACAGAAATTATTGTACAATGCATTTAGGCCTACAGCACACTGTTATAATAATGTTGTTTAGCAAACCATTTGCTTTCCTAGGATACGGATTCTTAAGGAGGACAAGCAGTAATCAGCAGACAAGCTGTGATCAGAAGAGTTAAAGCAAATCATGTGAACAATTTTAAAGAAAAACACACTCTGAATAGCTTAAAGTAAAAAACAAAAAACAAACATTTTCATGCTTGTTTCTAGTCAAAAGAAAAACAGATACTAAAGAGGAAAGGAAAAAAAATCCCTTTCGATCTTTTCTTGCTGGTTCAGTAAGCAAAAAAGGAGACACACACACAACCCTGTGTTAACAACACTCTGAGTCACTCAGGTTGTAATCAAAGTGAGCACTTTTTCTATTTCGAATCATGACAGCAAAAAGACTGGAAAATTTCCCCAAACCAAACCAAATAAATGAAGAAAAGGATCACTGTACAAATTTTTGTTTGTCTTCTGGCCCAATAGGAGCACAAGAAAGTCTGATCCCAGAACACTGTGTCCCTGGAATGCATTAAGTGAAGCAAATGGGAATCTCACATGGGCAGTGCTGAAGGGTCAACTCCAGACTGAAAGAATGTAACCTTATGCCTCTTGAGTGAAAAGAGAGTAGAGAAGGGAGAGGAATGACTTGATTTCAGGACGTATCATGCCTAGAGGTGCCTTGTCTGAGAAGAGCTGTGCTGTTCAGCTTGATTTTAGATCTTGTGGAATCAACGGCACTTTGCTTCATGAGCACAACAGTTACGCCAGTATTACTGAACACTGCAAAGTACTGGCAACACACTGTGCAACTAGCACAAAGCTGAAAAAAGGAATAGTTTCAACACTGAAAATAAACATGGAATTATGGCTGAAATAAAAACACAAAACCATCAGGAAAATGCTTCATCTTTCAGCTGATCATATTGCCTTTTAAAATGCACACCGATTTATTTACTCTCTAGTCCTAAACAGTCACTGTATTCTATCTTCCTTTAAAAGAAACCTCTCTAAAAATGTAATGAAATCTAATGAAATCCATGGTTGGCTTAAGACATTTAAATATTTCTCAACAAACTAATGAATACGTATAAAACAAAGAAGAATTCTCAGTCATATGTGAACAACAGATATTTACAATAGCATTACACACAGAACAATAACCTATTATCCAAGCAAAGCTGAATGGAGCAGCAGTAATCCTCCTATTACATTTGCAGAAAGAGAAAAAAAGAAAGGTTACAGTTACAGTACCTCTATCTTCAAGTGGATTGCTAGCAAGGTTGATCGTATGGAGTCCTGAGTTGGGATTATGGGCTAGGGCACTGGCTAGTTTCTGTGCAAAATCTCTGCAAGAAAAGAAAATAGAGGGAGAAAGAATCTTGTTATCTCCTCTATCAACAGCACATTCAGAGGCTTAAAAGTATCAAGTGATTACTAGCCATAAGTGCCCTACCCTACTGTAGAGCAGTAACTGATTCTTCAGTTCTGAACAATGCTTATCTGGCTAATTTGCTCTCTCTCAAAGTGGGTTGTTGTATTATTTATTTATTCAGTGACCTAAGAGACTAAAGGGCACTCAATCAAAGCTCAATCTGCTTTTGACAGAGATCTGAAGATACCAAATAGGAATTACACAGAAAAACTGAAAACTTGAGCACATCTTCCATCTCCTTCATGGAGTGACTCACGCATGAGTGAGATACATACGTTAACTTGCATACCACTACCTTCCTTCCTGACTTAAAAGCCAAGCCCCTCACTTGCAGCAGCTCTCTACCAGGTCACTTAAATAGACAGGCTTTGCAGCATATCCAGAAGGTCAACAAACTAGAAATATTTATGACCTCGTAAAACAGCAAGAATAGCACTCTCAAAGAACACCAGCGCACAGATGAACTAGTATTTGCTTGCTTCTTTTTACAGTGAGAAGCATCGAAGTATGTACCTGGCCAACCACAGCCCTAGTAACGAGTCCCAGGAGTCTATAGCATGTCAGTTCTATATGCTCACAACAGCCAGGCTAGGTAGCACAAATAGCTCTGAATCAACTTTAACCAGCTATGGTAGGTAGCAGCAGTAGCATGATCTATATCTGTTCCAAATCCACTTGAGAGGCAAGGGAACACTGCCATGCCTGAGAGTGTTTTACGGCAGCTGTACTACCCCTACCCACAGCACTAACATCAAAGCTAGTCTGTGTTTTCTTACACGACTCTGGTGGAGACATGTTCCTTGCATTTAGTCAGCAGGCTGTTATCAGCTCCAAGACAAATCCTCAAACCTGTCCTTGTACCTGCTGAGAAGGTTTCATGTATTAAGGGACTAGCTTTACTGTGGTTTTTCATTAAAATGAGACTATAATTTCAATGTTCTTGCTTCACCTAAGTTAGACATAGCAGTAGAAATCAAAAGTATGCCTTGAGCTTCCTTCTCTCTCTGCCCTGAAGAGCATTATCATACCTCCTGTAGCCTAGCAGTGGAGAACTACCAGCTATGTTGCTAGGAGAGTAATAATTCAACACCACTCTCTTTCCTCAGGACAGATCCTGCCTACCATAAAATTAGTAGATTAGCCTGTGTGCTAAGAACTGCAGTGGAGGTAGCATTCTCTTCCAGTATCTGGAAAAGAGTGGAGACTGGACAGCAACAGCCTCAATAACTTTTGGTTATCTGTTGTTGCAAGATGTACTTGAGTACAGAGATGTTCCAGGCAAGTTTAGTTTCCCTTTGAAACCCCATGTCCTTAAACAGACCCCTGGGGCTAGAACAGGTTCCAGCGCTGCAAATGCATGATGGGCTGCCTTTAGGAAAAGTGTACTCTTTTCCTAAAATACAAGCAGCATGTGAATACAAACACTCAACAAAAAGAAATTCTGGGCTTGAATCTCTGCCACCTGACAGGCCTCAGGGTATCCTGCTTTGCTACCAGCTGCTGCAGCAGAAGACTGCGTATCTCCTGTAGGTCCTCGGTTACATGTGCCAACACTCTATGGATACCCTCCAGCACTTCAAATGGCACTAGATGCCTGTGCTTAAGCAACTGAACTAAGCTCCATATGTCCAGCCAAGAAAAATGAGGTTTTGAGTTAAAAAAACCCCAACAAACAACAAAGCCTTTTCTTCATGAGGAGTTTGACCTCTTCCTTTATCCCTAACAGATTATTGTCATTACGGTATCCTGCCTGCACCTCCAAACCTGTTTACAAACTCTCTTCCAGCTTTTGCCACCAATATAGGCAGGATGACCAGAACAACTGAGGTGTGTGTGAACTACTTACAGAGGCACAGTAAACTGACTGCCACCAGAAGGCACTGGATTACGTACACATGGTGCATTTCTAAGGCTAATTTTGGAAACACTAATACAACCTCTCAACTCCCTGTGCAGCCTCTACCACAAATGAAGGTACCTGGGCCCGGCTCACTGGGCAACTTCCTTCCCCTCCTTTATCCAACAAATTGTTTCAAGACCTGAAATTTATTACTTTTCTTGGCTGCACACTTCATGAATAGAGCATGCAATGTAAGCCTGACACTTTCTATAAAGCATCGAATTCACTCTGTATGCACTGCACAGCCATGCTTGCCTAAAGACATTCAGGCTTGGAGGTGAAGTTCAAAAAAGACTCAATTAAACTATACCTATGGCAGGTAAGGATATTTCAGCAAGCATAAAAACACCACAGACCTGTAAATCTCAGAAAAATAAAAGGAGTTCTCAAAATCTGTCTAGACAACATCCCTGTAACACAAAAAAAAAGAGGACGTGTGGAAGGAGCTAACACTGTTTGATCCAAGGACATTCAGAGCCCATCCAGCAGGGGAACACGGGATGCAATGTCACTGTCAAAGACTCTCTGGGTACCAGCAGCAGGCACCTCTGTTATTCCCTCTCTGCTGAGGCTGGCCACTCCCTTTAGAACAGGTCTGCAGAGGACAGTGCGGAAGGCAGTAGGGACATTCTGCCTGACAGTTTTCAGAGGGTTTGTTAGCACAGCAAACAGATCATTTTCACCAGCTTCTGTAAACAGGCCTTTGCAGACTGAAGAGTCTGTCTTGCAGTTTCGTGGAAATGAATACTGGTTATCACATATTGCCCCATTCCTCTAAAACACCTCAGGGATGTAACTCTCTTTTCAAGCTCATCTGTTCAGGTCATTCTGAATGATTTTCCTTTCCCTGAAATATGGATATCACCTACCTCAGTTAACCTCACCTACCAAACATTAGTGTTTGCTACAAGCATTAAAGCCATCCAACATAATCTAGACTGCACCCTTTACATCTGATAAAGAAATAGCAACAGAGACAGAACTTTCAAGAACATCTAAACTGGCATAAATCTTATCAGACAGGGAGGTTCACTTGACACCATTTTCCCCTATGGCAAGTCCACACTTCCCTAGTCCCGGGTCCTTACAACTGCTATGGCATGATAGTTTTCTGTCTCATCAGCTGGGAGGATGACAAGTGTTTATGGGGCCATGGCCCAAACCAAATCACAGAAATGAGAGGCTGGAGGTAAGAGAGAATGGAATCATCTGAAACTGACTCTACTGCAGGAAGATACATGCTCTTGCATCTGTTCAGGTTATTTCTCAAAACATTACTCTGAGTAGTTCTTTCTTAACCCTGGTTTGGCATTCTGTCACAGCTCATTAAAAATGACTGGTCTGTAAACTATGCAAAGGAAGATACCCAGTTATAACAGTATTTTGTCTTAGCAAGCAGATATGATAAATGCCAAAACTGACAAATGCGTCCTTGACAAAAACAGACAGACAATGCTGATCAGAGCAGATACACACCAAGGCAAAATGCCAAACACTGTGCATGTAGACAGAGACAGGAAAACCGAAGTCACAGGTTGATTATCTGTCAAGTCCTGTTAAAACTGAAAGCAGTTAATCCAACTCTGACAAATTAAGGTAGGCAATGTGTAAAGGTAGTCAATGTATATTTGAATATTAATGATTATCACTCGATTTCATGGCACATACTGCAAGAAAAACAGGATTACAATCATCTATGTTTGAATGACAGCTATTAAAGGCAGTGCTCTAGTGATCAGAAAGCTTGGGTGTAATTCCAAACTTGACCTCAAGTTTCCTGTGTCATTTAGGCAATTTTCTTTTAAAGGTACATTAATGCAAAACCCCATCTTAAATAGGAAAAGAAGATTGAAACACTAGAAGAGGAGACAATGTAAAGCACACCAAATACTCTCCTTGTGCTTGTTTTCCTTCCTCACTTGTAATTCAGTATAGTGTTCTGCTTCACCCATCTTTCCTCTGCTTTTTTACTAACACAAAAAAATCAATTAGTGCTACAGTTTTTCTTGTGTACATGGTCTAGGAGGATACTCTTAACACTAAAACAGACTACAAATACTACCAATTGGGCTAGTCTGTAACTTGAAATTTGCTTTTATTTCATGTGAAGGGAAAAAAAACCAAACACTTAGTAACTACAACTTACCGTACTTAAAACACATGCGAGGTTTAAATTCTATGGCATACTTACATGTATCTTTCTTTTAAGGCTCTGGCAAGACATTAAAACTTAATTATATACTTTCTTGTTTCCTTAAAAGAAGTTGCTCATGTAGAAGTCCTGTTACACTTGAGCAGACTGCAATCCAGGGTAAAATAAGAACAGCTCTCTTGGGAAGGAAACAGTAAGTTGTTGCAAGATGGAATAATATGCTTTTTTAACAAGACCTTACACACTGTTTTAAATGACAAAAAGGTGTTCCTACTTCTACTGGCAAGCATATTTGGAGAGGAACAGTGTGAGCTGATTGAGGGTTTATGCTCTTATCCAATCCATTTTTCTCTGCTTAACCCAACTCTCCAGGCAGAATCTTAAAAAACATCAGTTTAAAGGGATTTCTTAGACATAGGAACCTATGGAAAACCTTATAAAAAGCTTTGTAACTACAGGCTTCTCAGAACAAGGTAGACACCAAGCACAAGCTTTTTTAATGCTTATTCTGGTTAACACACACCACACATGCCTTTTACTGGGAGTAAGCAGTAACTAATGCAACATTTCGAACAAATTACTTACGTTCTAAGCCCGGCATTCTCTAATACCAGTTCTTCCAATCGATTGGACCTACTCACCACTCGCAGTATCTGCTCACAGACATCAGTGGACTGCCACAGAAAAGACAGAACAGCGTTAAAGAACACAAACATGGAACAGGCGGTTACTGAGTTATCAGCTGTACATCATAGTGGGATCCAGGACATGGCCATCATCTTACACTACATACATAGCAAGCAAAAATACCAGAAACATCCAAGAGAGAGTCAGGTAGCAACAGAGGACTTCCGCAAAAGACTCAGAGAAGCAAGAGGCAGACTTAAAGCAAGTCATTTATGAATCAGGCCATTTAAACTGGGGGGCGGGGGTGGGGGGGGTGGCAAGATTTTTTTAACAATAGTAAAAAAGCAAAGCCCTGTGATTCAGAAAAAAATGCTCACTTATTTTTGAAAGAAATCTTGTTCATATACATGATTATCCTTCAGAAAAAAAAGTGGCAACTAGTGCAGAGAAGAATGACCAAGAATGACAACTAAACACAAAAACTCAAAAGCAAAAGCAGTCTAGCTGCAGGTCCTCCAAAGACTGCTAGGAACTAATGCTTAAGGGACAGTGTATTTCAGTTTGAATTCTCTCAGCCTACACAGAAGTAAATTCCATTGCATGATCTTACTGTTGTTGGACTCTAGAATTTGCATGGGCATTTGCAAATACCATGAACGAAACACAGTAATAAGAGAGTTTGTTTGCTGTGCTCAATCAAACAGATAAAACTTTAATGATCCAAAAGCCATACAGTGAACTCTGCAGTTCATCACCTTTTATTATAATGTTTTATTTCCCTTCTGGATTTGACTCTTTTTTCCCCACAGCACACATAAACCAACATTTATGTGATGTCCAAAGCTGAATTTCAGTCACGACCATGAAATGATGAAACTATTCTGTTATCTGCCTTTAAAAACAACAATGTGACATTCATAGCTGGGACATCTATGTCTCTAATGAATCAAATTTTCTAGTTTGGTCGGGTTTTGTTTGTTTGGGGTTTTCTATACTTTCAAACTAATTGTATCTCCCAAAAAGGAAAAATGCTCCACCACACACATAAAATCTTATTTATCTTTTACACAGTAAAGATGACATTCTTTTCCTGAAGACTGCCAGTTTACTCATCTTCCCAATTCTATCTTTGACTTCCATAGTTTAATAATTCAGAATGTTATCACAATGCTTCTAGAGCATTGTGATTACTAGTGGAAAGTTTCATGCATGTACTATAAAAAGACTATGAGCACCATCTATCAAACACAATGTCAGAGCAGGACTCATGACGAACAATGCATTCGATGGCCTCCAGATACGTCTGACCTCATACTGACCCTCAGCACTGTTTCTACAGCACAGATTTACTGTCCAACAATTCATGTTTTCCTGGTGTTTTTGACTGAAAATGGAATGTGTGGAAGATTTTTTTTCCAAAGGAACCGATGCATTTTCAAGATTGACAAAGTTTATTTGTTTTCCACAGAAAAGTTGCTAAGAATGAAAAAAGACTTTCACACAAAAATACCTTAGAAAGATAATGTGGCAAATTCTTGTTCTAAGAAAACTACACTGGCCACTTTTCTAAGCAAACTGTCTCATTTCATTGAGGCAGAAACTGATTAAATGCGTTGTACTTTTAACAATGCTGATTTTAACAGTGAGCTGCAACTGGATTAAAAATAACCCCCATTTCATTCTGTGTATAACTTTGAGTAAGATGGCCTAGCAAGAAAGAAAAGTTTATTGCCTTCTTCTGCCAAGAATCACATAAGCTAGTTTTTACTGAATTTTCATGGAAAATGATAGCTTAAGAATGCAATGAGAGCATTTTCAGATCAATGAAGCTGCATCAGTTTAAACAAAATGAGACTCAACCTCCGTTATTAAGAAGAAAAGCTTCTGGATGCAAGCGTAAAAGCAACTTCTCAAGCCACTAAGTCTACGTGACACTATAAAGAAAGTTTAGAAGAAGCAGTATATTATGAAATATTTCAAATGTCACCTAATTACTGATTTTCTTGACCTTTCTTCAGTTGTCAAACTTGCTTAGATTTGCCCCTTTTTTGCTTTTCAGGAAGAAAACTGATGTGGAAGAGTATCAGTGTCAGACATCACTATGTACTTATTTCTAGACAGTGTTAGCCTCAGACAATGGAGAGGAAAAAAATCATCAGGTTGCAGGGAAAGTTATGAGGAAAAACCTGCTTTATATGCACAGAGAAAAAAAAAAAAAAAACCACAAATCAGAATCCTGATAGTTTATTTCCACCTTCAAAAACTAACTGAGATGTTTTGTTGCTTTAAAGTCAGTTTCCTATTTAGTCACCCAATATTGTTTGGGGGACCTAGTAACGCCTAATCAAGTAGTTTTATGGGCTACTGTTACTGCCCAAGAAAGTTGTTTCTATTGTATGAATTAACTATTCAACCATTTATATTTTCCTGATATGATTAAGGGAAAAAAAAACCCCAAACAATAGATTACCCAGTTTACTTGCCTAAAAAAGTTCACTTTGAAAAAGGTACAGCATCCTCTAAAACACAGCACAGCCTGGTAGGAGCAAGTATACTGTTTCAATTTGTTACTTACTAATTTCAGATCCTTGGAGGACAGCTTTGTAAACCACTGATTATACTCCAGAGCAGCAACTATAGGTATTAAGTCTCTAGAAAAAGAAAAACACTTTTACACACATTTCATATAACTGTCTTTGGTCATTTCAAACAATCTCTTAACTGTTGTTCTGTATCTAATGCCCCATGCTTTTGAAATACAAAACACTGTCCCCATGACAGAAAGCTCAGCATTCTGCAAAACAAGCATCACCTGCAGCTGTGTGTCTTTCTGGTATTTTAATACAAATTTTTGACTGTCCAACTGACATCCATTCTAGCATGAATTTTTAAATCAGGAATTTGTCTGGGCTGCCATTCCTACTCCTAGCATTACTTTTTCTTCAGTCTGTGACATATTTCAGCTTCTTAATCACCTCTAATTATAATTTAACATGACGCTGAAAAGCTTTTTGGCAGCCTGATGATTTAATATAATTCCATGACTGAATGCTTCTAAAGAACACCTCCTTGTCTCATCTCTATAGTTAAATTCCCCCAGGAAGCGGGAGACCTGCAAAAGGATAATGCGACTTTCAGCCCTCCTTAATTGTAAAAGGGATTTCACAAATGAAATTCTGAATTATTCCCCTTTTCTTCATTTGAAGACTCTTAATGTGATCTGCTCTCCCTCTGTTAAGTTTCTGCAATAACAGACGTTGACAAATGTCATGCCTGTACACTACCCCCCAGCAGAATCATTCATTATGCACTAGCACACAATTTATCAGCACAGCACTTGGATCATCTTGATGCAATGTATTAAATACATATATACAACTACACTGGGACTTAACAGCTACTTAGAAAGCCATTGTCTTTATAATGAAACAAAGAGCTGTAATATACATGAACTTATCAGACCAGCAAAATAGTGCCTCATTTTTTGCACGCAGAAATGTAGAAGTATTGGCTTTTATAAGCCAGTGCCCACCCCCCCCAGCTTCTCATTCAGAACATAGGCAGGTAGGCATAGATCTGCACTAAACATGCTGCATCCTTCTCCCATCTTCTTTTCCTTCTTCCTCTCCTTCAGTTTTCCCTCTACAAACACTCAGACACTTCAGGGTGGCTGTTAAACATGTAGGAAAGCCAGGAGACAAGGCAACATCATATGGACAAGCCTTCAGCAGGCTATATTGGGAACTGCAGTTGCTAGATTTGGAAGTGCAAGCCCATCACTAAGGTAACAGTATGAAGGTGCAGCATCTTGCAGCAAGACTGTAGCCCACCGACTGTGAAGCTCATGCAAATAGATTGTTTTCACACTCCTGCAGAGGAACTAGTGTGTGGTGCCCTTCAAGGATTAAGACTGCTTCCCGTCTTGTTCACAGCACACATCAAGTGTCATTCATTTCCACTGGCACAGTAGAGTCTTATCAGCTTCAGGAAGTGTATAGATTTATTTCTGCCCACCATGTTGGTTTTGTTCCTACACATACGCTTCATTTCCATGGAGAGCAGTAACTGCCTAGTGAAATGTCATGAGGGAAAAATAACTACAGAAGCATTTTCCAAGCATTTTCCCTGGGCAGAGGGGAACCATGCTATGGAATACAGAATGTCCATACAGACAGGTTTGTCTTCCTTCGCCTTCCCCTGGCACAATCAGTAAGAAGATAATGAATTAGCGCCTTTGATGTTCCTCTTGCCAGTGCCTTTGGCTTGGAAGTGGAATGAACATAAGGTGCAAGGTTTCCAGGTGTAATTTTGGTTTATCCACACAGTGGTAACCAGCCAGTCACAGCTGGTGGTGAATGCTGCAGGGCAAACATTGGACAGGCTGATGGTACCACCATCACACTGGTGGAGCAGAGCTGTTAATGCTGTGGACCACCAATCCCAAAAGAGGCACCACCGGCTGTATTTCAGCCAACAGCAGCAGCCTACTTCTTCCAAAGGAACAGAAAAGCATGGAGCAGGGATCACTGGCTCCAAGTGTTTACACGATCAGTGAGCTGATAAACCAGCTAGGAGGGCTGTCAAGAGCTCAGTAACTTCTGGGCAGCAGAGTGGCTGCAGGCAGAACTTGCCCGAGATGACATTCTCCTCTCTTCTCCCCAGGCCTGGGAGGGAGATGCTGAAGGACAGGGCATGCTCAGGCTTACTGGGAAAACCATCATACTTTCAAGAAGTTAAAGAAACATCACTGCTGCAGGACAGGAATATTTTAAAACAAACCAACGATCTGATTGATTTGCAAATTCTCATCTTTATATAGTTTAGTCTCCTGCAGTATTCAAGGCCTGTCTGTTCAAACCCTAGACAAGCACAGATACTGGCACCCTTCAGTAACACCAACTGCTAGCTTCCCCCCCATCCCCTCCCTCCCCACATGCCTGAAGACAGTGAAACCCCTGCCCATTTCTGCAAAAGCCTACTGTCTAGAAACTCTGCTTTATCAAATGCTACCATCTGATACATAGTTTAGGGTTTTTTCCATTTTGTTCAAATTTCTGAAGGTGCTTCTGACCAGTGAGTGTCCTTTAGGAATTTACCTCTACTTCTCTTGCTTTGAGCTTGTCTAACCTCAATGCACTTTTTATTGAGTTTTCCTTTTCAAAACGATACGGTGTTTTATTCACTTTGTTAAATTCTAGATGTGGTACTAATAATGATCTGAATTCTTTTGCAATACGGTATGAAAGAACACTAATCACCATTACCAAAAGTAGGGCCTTCTCATAACTTCCACTCACCAAGTTGCTTATGTTCATTAGTTTGTTTACTAAATTACCATCCAGAATAAGAAAAGATTTACAAAATGTAAATCTGTGCCATCTTAAAATGAGAACAGGTTCCCTTCTTCTGGAATGCAGAAAATCTCTCCAAGCTTCAACAATATTCAGGCTTATCTAATGCCTTCATGTTTTTTCAATATCTCTGTCCCCTCATGTATTTAAGATTGAAAGAAATTTAAACAGTGCAAAGAAGAAAAAAGTCTAACCAATCACACTTTTCTGACAATCTATTTGAATGTCCAAATATGCTAAACATATGCTACACAGACAAAAATCATGTCACTGAGTTAAGTAAGCCCTGTTCACTCTGAGTCTTTTCTTTTGTTTGTTAAAAGTTATATAGTTTGCAGCACAATATAACTTCGGATAAAACCTCAATAGTCATGTTCCCATGTCGCAAGTCTAGCTATGCACTCTCTCAGATGCTCTGAGAACTTAAATTCATCTAAAATCCATGCCATCTTATGTTGACCTCTAACAGAAATGCCTTACTAGGAAAACCACAAATTGTTTATTTTTGCAATGCATAGCCCCTGTATCTAGAGAACTGGTGCACCCATCCTACTTCGCTTCAGAGCTACTCCAGAACATGAAGTATACAGTTCCAGCAACCCCCAAAATTATGTGGACAACAGTCTCTCAAAATCCAAAGGATGATGGTGTATTGTTAATTTATAGCATTCTTACTTTCTAGATATATCACAAAACACTCGCATACCTTCTTGAATTGACTGCGATCTCATATCCTAACTTGTATATGAATAATATAAGACTTTGGCTTCCTGAAAAATCTTTTTTTTCTTGAAGTTTCAATCCAAAACATTTTTCTCAGTTCAGTCCTCAACATCTGGAAACTCTCATCACAGGTTAGATTCCATGGCATGTAAATGGGTCCAAAGTTGTTTTGAATCTTTGAACTTACACAAGCATGAGACATTTAATAAAGATTTTTATTAACCACACCAATATATTTCCTCAGAGATGTCAATTATGTAAAGTATTCTTCAATTAAAAGCTTCTGTGAAGCAGCAAGTCCATTATTCTGCTTTCCAAAAGCCAACTCATTTGAACCAGCTGAGATATTCCAAATATTAAAACAGTTCTTCTATCTACTTGTTCATAATAAGTAGTATTTTTCACACCCCATAAATTGTTCAATCATTTTAATTTCTATAGAAGCTGGGTATCTGTAAGCCACTTTCTTAAGAATGCCCCATGGTGTTCTCAGCACTTCCACTTTGCAGCATGTTTATAGCATTCTCATGTTCTCGTCTCGTATTTGCTTGTGCTGAATAGTACTCCTTTCCTTATCTTCTCTCAGCAAGAGTTAACCAACCAGTCTTTGGCTGCATCTGTCACGCACTAGTTGCAGCCCTGTAGTCTTGACTGAGTTACCTCTGAATTAGTCAACACAGGAACTGTTTAGCAACTTTGCCCTGGGATTCAGTGCAGACTGTGAAAACCCACCACAGAAGCCAAGTGAAGTATTTCAGTAGGGTTTTTTGTGAGTTTACAGACCAGATAGCTTAAAGCTGTGAAGAACACTGCAGCAAAACACTCTTACTTACCTTCCTCCAAGTTCAGCCTTCCTGTTAGAGTATTTTAACATTGTACTTTTGACAGATTCTTAATTCTTCCACTGGACTTTCCCAAAGAAACAAATACTTTCTCTGTCTTATTTACAATTTCTTAAATTTCTCACTTTCCTTGTATAATGACGGATTTTAGTTAAGACTCCCTCACATTTCCTCCTACTTAAGTATCTTTAGATTCAACTTTCTTAGAATCCAATTTCCTCAGCCAGCTAAATTCAGTAAACTAAATACAACACTTATCTATGTCTCCACATTTCACAGTAAAATTACCCTCAATTAGTTCCTTTCTGGAAGTTACACATTTTTGATAGCATCTATTGTAAGTGAAGAAACTACTGGCTGGGATTCAGTTGAGCAACTTAAACCTTCTACTGACTTGCTGACAAAAATAATTCTCTTTACTGTGTACACCATGAGAAAAAGATTCTGCATAAGTAAAGACTGCATAATTCTCTTTTTTGCTTTGCCCACCAGATGTAGTTGCATGTTTTCTCTGTTGAATTTGAGCTCTTACATCTGCCATCACAGGAAAAGTATCTATCTGCTAACTTCTTGGAGCGCTTCCAATAGCAAAATATATTTATCTTATCAGGATCCTCAAACAAATGTAGTCTCTATGGGCTTTTGTGAAAAAACACCAGCTTTGTGCTGAAAAATACAAATGCTTCAGATGGTCACTTCAGAGGTCTACAAATTCAAGTAACAGCTATGGGACCACCCCACTTTATCAAGGGCAGGCAATCTCTACTGGGAGGGAGAACAAGGAGAATTTGCAAAACATTACCATGATTACTGCATATTGCTTACCTGTGGTCAAGGTGGCTGAAGTCTTGCAAATTCAGCTCTCTAGTATCTTGTGTCAGATAAATCGTATCAACATCCTGTTGAAAATACACAACCAAACACACCTTTACAGAACTGTTGGGTTTTTCTCCCCAAGTACTGTGATTTACCTGTCCTTTCATCTTCTGTACAGTTAGCTGAAAAGAGCTCCAGAACAAGACATGTACTTACCCACTGTACCTCCTCTCTGT